AAAAGTATAGGTTCCATCAATTTATAGATCAGTCGTTCTACTTTCTTTTTGTTTTGGCCCATTTTTAATGCGGGGGAATTAAAACATAAATAGACAAAGTATGGAAAATATTACTCCAAAATTGACGTACGGGTGCATTTAAACCGGCATTATGTAAGAGCTAAATCTGCCTATTGCAGGTCTTTCTTTAGGCCTTAAATATGTTATATAAATTATTAATTAGACATTTATTAACATGATAAGACCATAATCAACCGATTTTAAGTAGAATAGAACGGTTCGTCTAATTTATGATTTAATTTAAAAATGGAGAAGCGAGGCAGAGACTCAAATGACCATTACGATGGTTACGATCAATGCACACATCTAGTCAAAACTACAAAATAAAGTAGTTTGAATGGAATTGTTAATATATTCATTCTGCATTATCTATTTTTGAAATGTTACAGCGAGAATGGCCAGCTCTAAATCTTACATAATGTTACTTTAATAAAACCCAAGGTGGAAAATTTCTTTCTTCAAGCTTTTTATCCGATATAGACAGCATGAGCGTTGGATATAGTGGTCTAATAATTGGGCTAAATAGGTTAGAATGTAAATAAAATGAAAAACAGTTATAGGCCAAAACATATAGTCGGAATGTATTATTCAAAAGTCAGTGGTCTGAGCTGTGGTCTGATCCCATATAACATGTCCCGTGTGACGATTGCTGCCATGTGGTTTCAGTTTGTTACTTACAGTATACAAATGACCATGAGGCTAACCCCAAAAAGGAAAATATGAGATTTTCTAATTTAAATCTATGTCCTCCATATGCTATCGGCTTCATATTTTAAATACGTAGCATAGTTTGTCTGGTTCAGCGAGTGAGTTTCAAAACAAACATTTCCATAAAAGAGGTAACAATCCCGGTGGTTCACAACATTCTCAGAAGTTAAAAATATGTTCTATTTTACAGGAGGGTTCGATACCGGTGTTGCCGAGTTCCCTGGGATTTTCTAGTTGTTCCCCTTGCCAGTGGTGCAGGGCGGAGGGCCTTGCAATGACAGCGTCTAGTCGTTCTGACGGGGAAAAAATCAAGATAACGTGTACACGTTGGAGTACGTGTATAAAAAGCCATGAAAGTTCGAATTCGATATAAGAGTAGGCTGTAGCACCGCTGTCAGGACAAAATTATCCTCATAGCACACTGTATGGCGTGTACCCGTCTTCATTAGGCCAATTGGTGCTGAAAAGTAAGACGTTAAACCCCATTTCATCTCATTCCTGTACTTAAATCTAAGTAAAACCCACCCGAGTAAAATCCTGTATAAATAATGAGCTGGACTGTATGAAAACAATTGAATTATTATTACTGTATGTACCTCAGACTTATGTTAAAATTGATTACAATTAGCGCATGACTGTTTAATACAGGATATGAAGACTCAGCAGAGCTGAAACCAATTCCCATTGTTGTCACTGGCGGTGGAAAATGTTACATTTTCTTCAACAGTGACACGTTCAATTTTTGTAAACATGCATCAAATTTGTTTTGACAGAATTTGCTATATCATATTGCAGCATGTCTCCATCCATCTCGACATGTAAAACGTCATATTTAATTACGCCTAGTGCTGAGTAACAAATCTTCCACATACTACATTACATTGGCATGTGCATAATACTTAAAGATACATTATGTAAGATTTAGGCAAAGAGTTTGTCATTCTTGCTGTAATAGTTCCAAAATAAACAATTCAAAGGGAATATATTGAAAATTTCATTCAAATTACTTTATTCTGAGAGAAGTTATGCGTGTTCGAAGATGTAGTGTAGATTTTTTTTATTATCGTAGCAACGGTACTGGACAAACGAGACTAAGTCACGATTATCCATTTTATCGTTAACTTTTGGGCTTGTCGTGTTAATAAATGTCTAAAAAATAGTTTATATAACATTTGAAACCAAAATAAAGATAAAGACCTGCAATAGGCATATTTAGCTCTTACATAGTGAATCTTTAGCTATAATTAACATGCCTGATTTGTCGAAATACCTGTAACCCATTTCTAAGAGAGAGAGAGAGGGGGGGGAGGGAGAGAGAGAGAGAGAGAGAGAGAGAGAGAGAGAGAGGCTTAACGTCCACTCGACACAAACTAGGTCATTTCGTGACTAACACGTGGTTCAATTTTATTTCAATATTCGCTTGCGCGTAGGGGTCTTTAGCAGAGGAAGGAAACCGGGGGACCCTAGTGCTTGTCACGTACAACCGGGGAATCGAAACCACGCCAGTTGACTCAATGACAGACCTTATGATACAGCGCGCACGTGCTAACCATACTGTATATAAATACTTGATGTTTTACATTTGCTTGATAAAGACGAGAGTATCATCGTTGAAACGTTGGATGTTAATAAACCAGTAATTTTTATTCCATAAATATTGTTAGTGATCTACTTCAGCATTTAAAAAAAACCTTATACTGAATTGATCCACGCCTCTCATTTGGAAATTACTACTAAGGATGACGTGTTCACATAAAAGATCGATATTCGAAGAACAATAATGACGTAATACACAGACTACAAAGGTATCAGATTTACCCTTTAATTCAGTGCTTGTCAACAGTTTGACACATTTAGTCATAATTGATTGATTCGTGTCAATAAAGCAACACGACGTCTCATTTATCTGGCTTTTTTTATGAAAGTAAATCAAAGAAAATAGACAATACACGCATGCTCTCCAGATATGAATATGGCGTCAGCGTTTGACATTACTTGTGGAATATGCCTATCCTCGTTCTTCCAGTTCCTTGATACAAATGGCGCGGAAACGCATTATGGTACACCAATCGTGTACCAATGGTAAAATGTTTATTTTGTCTTAAATATTGGATATTAGTAGCACATATTTTCCCTGTAAGATCACAACATCAGTGTTGATTTAAATTGACAATTAATTCGTGTTTTCAATATAGAAGACTTTAGATGATATTGAGTTAGAGACTTAGCTACTTTTACGTCCATTCAATACAGGCTACGTAACTAACATGTAGGGGTCCCGGTCAGGTGTGAGAAAACCTGACGAAAACACTCACGAGATTAGCCAGATAACCCCACTTCATGCCACGTGCGAACGAGCGTGGGATCGAGTCGGATGAATTTAAAAAATTGTTCTAAAGTTCATTCGCCAGATCACTCGGCAACCCCATAATGCAATTCACAAAAAAGGGCTGACAAGGAAAGCTGTCTAGTCGTTCGGATGGGACGAAAAACCGAGGTCCCGTGTACACATTGGCGTGCACGTAAAAGATCCCTTGGCAGTTGGAATTCGATATAAGAGTAAGCCGTAGTGCCGCTGTCCGGGCACAATTTCCCTCATAGCACACTGTATGGCGTATGCCCGTCTTCATTAGCCCAGGTTAGGAGCAGAACAGTAGGACGTTAAACTCCATTTCATTTCATTTCATTTACAAAAAAGGGTTTTCATCTCACCATGCCTTACTGACTAAAGGGGAATAACCCCCTTTACTAGTGGTGATTCGACCCGTCATTATTTGGCTACAGATCACTAATTCTCGTCTCTTAGACCGGCTCTAACTTTTCCCCAAATTTTCGTTTGGTAGAACGCTTTCTACCACAGATAGAGCAACATGTGACAACTGCTTGCGCATAAGCACGGGGGATCACGCTGCTAAGTGGGTAAGACGCTGGCTCGCTAGCCTGGAGGTCGGGTGTTCGATCCCTGCATTGGCCGAGAAAGTTAATCCAGATTTTCCGGCGTGGTTCCCCCTTATCAGTGATGCAGGATGGAGGACCTGACAAGGACAGCTGTCTAGTCGTTCGGATGGGACGAAAAACCGAGGTCCCGTGTACACATTGGCATGCACGTAAAAGATCCCTTGGCAGTTGGAATTCGATATAAGAGTAGGCCGTAGTGCCGCTGTCCGGGCAAAATTTCCCTCATTGCACACTGTATGGCGTATGCCCGTCTTCATTAACCCAGTTTGGAGCAGAACAGTAGGACGTTAAACCCCATTTCATTTCATTTCTCATAAGCACGTTCATCGTGGAAAACTTGAGATACACAACTGGAAGTAAAGACCATTAAACAAACATGCAATTTTCGGCTCTACATTTCAACATAATCAACTTCTGAACTCTCGTATCCTTCCGCCTCAAAATCATGAATATTCACCATAAATTGTCAGAAAATGTATTTTCTACACCAAAAAGTCAACAAAAATTGCTATGCAAAAGGGGAAAAAAGGAAAAGGGGGAGAAAGACTAAAAATAGCTTTGGCCCCTGTTCGTGGGTGGCGGCGCAGGAATATTTGGCAAGCTGTGTTCATTTGCATTTGTCAAAAGCATTATCCCTTTTTTCACGAAAGTCATAAAAAGTCATTAACGAGATGACCACCGTCGAGACCGGTCGTATTATTTCTATTAGTTTTTCTTGTAAATCATTGTTTTGTTTTACATTATGAGTAAAACCTGTACCATTACAGGCCCTAGACTGCACCACTGACACACGGATCCATTCACACTCCTGTATCCCAAATGGATTTAATTTGATCACAAAGAAGGAACCAATCCCAAACCATCCAATTCATACATTAAAGGAAATTCGAAATTCCAACATGTATTTGTATTGGAGCTGGGGAGGGGGTGCATTTTATTTATATTTTTCGAAAATCAAATTTATTTCACAAACAAGTAAAGCATTTATTTTTTGTTACATTACTTATTGACAGAAATGATCAAAATTGACTTATATATATCAATAAAATATAAATTTAAAAAGGACAAAATGAATATACTCTTGATCAGCTAAGAGAGATAAATACAATTTATTTCAAATTAAAAACATATTGAACTCAATATATAATATAATAATAAGAAATATCTTGCGTATATTAAAGAGAATACAAGGGCAAATAGGTTCTCTATTCACCCCCTGGTTTTTGATATTATGTAATAAAATCATAGACTCCGATTTTCTAATAAAACGACAGGAGAGAGAGAGAGAGAGAGAGGGGGGGGGGGGGGTAACATCCGCTCAACACAATTTCGGGAATAATATCTACGTGCATGGACCTTTATACATAAGTTAAAAACGGGGAACTCGGAAAATCACCATAGAACACGAGTAAGCAACTTTCACGTTTTGTGAAACGGACCCCTGCAGGTCTATTAACGTTCGTCTAGTCCAGTGATTCTCAACCAGTGTGCCGTGGCACACAAGTTTGCCGCGAAATTTTGAACGGCACACTAAGAAAATGGGTAAAACCACGTAACCCCAGTTGAGTATTACACTGGTGTCTACTGATAAATTCATAGCTGTGTTTTTCTTGATTTAGTTTGAGTCACTTTATGTGCCTATGACTAGTATGTGTCTACGGTTGTATGCAGTCTATGACTTGCCATGTTTTTATTTTGCAAAATTCAAATATTTTGCATATATATTTAGCCAGGTGTGCCGCTATTTTTTCATGTGATCCAAGGTGTGCCGTTGGCAAAAAAAGGTTGAGAACCACTGGTCTAGTCAGTACTAGGCTATCCCACTTATGAGGCGCTTCTTAATCCTCCACCCTCACGACTAGAGGAAGGTGAAAGTGTGTTTTAAACACAACTGAGCAGAGCCGGAAATGAGTACGGATGTTTAAAACTACGCACAGTGCGTGTAACAAAGGCTTTTTAAAAGACAGTTTCAAAATATTATACACCTTATCCGGAGGCTCTCTAGATCTTGAGACCTAGGCTTCAGTCTGCAAAACCTGTATGTAAATCATGCACCGGGTCTAGCTTGTAGTCGTCGTTGTTTGGGATTTCATGATACTGGCTTTCTTTGTCATTTGTCGTCTGGTAACATTTACAGTAAATGATAAGAAGACAAAGAAACCTTGAAGACCGTTTAAAATAATGTAAACGTACCACAACGCTGGTGCATTTGCATATGTAGCAATAAATCCAAAGATCCAAGAAAATCCGAGGACAGAAGATAACTTAATGTATATCAAACACATATTTCTGTCTAACTTTTTCCCGGTGACTTTCTGTGAGCTGTGGATAGCTCGCTGCAAATAATACAAAGTCAAACTGAAGCAGATAACATTGATTAATAACGTTACGGCAACGGGAACGGAGAAGGTTGCGATAGACCCATACATACTGGACATCCAGCCGCATTCGACCGTGCCATAGTTAAGTCGACCGTGATCGCCGGGAACTACATCTAATATAAAACCAGTGCCAACAATAAGCAGGGGAATAGACAAACATATGATACAGTACGATCGGAAAACATGGTTAGCATGCCAAGATGTGGCTTTGTGGAGAGTAGCTGGGTGGAAAGTGATAAGCATATTAACCGCTTGTGCACTCATCCACATGAAAGCGGAGAGCCAGCTCAGATGCGTCAGCGCAGCAATATACCTACACATGTTTTTACCTATCTTCGGAAAGATTAAAAAACACTGACCAAAGACAAGCGAGGTGGCCAAGCCAGTAATGAGTTTAGCCGGTAGTTTCTGGATCTCTTTAAAAACAAAATTGAGAATAATAGTGAGAATAAGAAAAAGAATGGATATACTGGACAGAACCCATGACAGATACAACTGCGTTGTGTCCATGTTGAAGAAAGGTGCGTTCTTAAATGGGTCATAACAAACTAGTGCTGATCCATTTTGTCTGATATAGTATTCGGACTGTGGAAATTTGAGACCAGCTTCCAGGATGTGTAATTCCGCCTTTTCTAAAATTGTGTATTCATCCGAATCATATAAATACCAAGAAGCAGAACAATTTTTCGTAGAATAATCTAAAATATCAGAATCACAAATGCAAATACTAGTTATATTAATCCCTGTAGAGAGTAAGAGATTAAAAAAGGTATTTTCAATAGGAAAAAACTGAGTCAGATTACCAACGTTCATCTGGGCGAAAAGATCTTCTTTTTTACTTACAAAAGTTGTTTCGTTTAAACATTTATAATCATCGCCGCCACATATCTTTTTTAAAGTATCGATTTCTCTATAATTAAAGACTTGTATTTCCAAGGCAGCCGTGTCTTTATAGAATTCAATATTACTTAACGCATTAACCAATAAAGACAATGGAAATTCTGTCATGTCAAACTGAAACCTAAAATCATACACCGAATCTTTAAAAGATGGTCCATTAATGAGCGTTACATTTTGTTTGGTGCTTTTGACTTTGTCGATTATTTTGGCCACAGGGATCGCATTTTTTAAATCTATAATTTTGTATGCGAAGTCGACAAATACCGTATTTGAAGCGTCGGGTAACGGCAAGGAAGTAGACGGAATATATATAGTTGTATTCTGGTGGCATTTTCCAAGTTTGGGATACTGGCCTAATGGACAGTAAAACTGACGACATTTCTGAAAAATGTTATCAAAATTTTCATCGTCCTTACACAAATCACTTCCTTTGAACAATTTTCCATTCGCCTTTACAAATACTGGATTCGACGGTTGATTAAACAAAGTCTTTAAACTTAAACCAGGTATAACATCAGTGTCTTGTCCTTCAGGGCAAAACTCCACCGAAGCTTCTGCGATTCTGCACAACGTACACTGAAGGGTCCATTCACTTTCATTTCTCTGAACTTGATTGATGCATTGGTCACAGTCATTGCTAAGAACAGAAATCATACTATCTCGATACATGTCGCAAAAATAGCCAGCTTCGAGTGCTGACTCTGGTAGTTTATATTCACGAGAGCATGTCCCATCCAGCAGGTGTTTCTCCATAGTTTCTGGATCCGGTACCGTGTTATTTTTACATTTATAATTGAAATTAACATTTGTTATTGCATCGAGCAGTAATTCATTCGAACATAATACACAATAGGCATTTTTATAGAACTTAACTGATAGGCCAAAGTCGTGGTAAACGAGTGGCATTAGACTCGAGGGATCTTGACAAAGTTTTCCTTCTTCACTTTGTTCATCTGGACAGCTGTCAGTGAAGCTATATGTCATATCGTCAGCAATGTCACATTGAATCCCTGCATAAAGATATAACAGAAAATAGCGAAGCGTAGATTGGGTCATCGTTATTGAAACATTCCATGTTATGTACGATTCTAGGGAGAAGTTAGCTTGATTACTAAAACATATATCATAGCCTATTACGTTGACGTAACAGTCACATTGCGATTTCCAAACTGGTACCTCTAACTGACAAACTCTGCCTGCACATCTGGTTTCTGTCGCTAAAGTGTTAACTGAAATTTAAAAGTTATGTACATATTAAACGACTGCTAAATTTACAGTAATTTGAAAAATGCCTCTCCTCCATACTACATTCTCTGAAAATATATTCACCTTCGTACTATTCATTTACTTTCCGTACAAATTTAAAATATGGCATACTGTGCAATGTTCCCGGGTATAAAAATAAACAATAAATGTTAAATCTGCAATATCCGAGAATAATGCTGTCAGGGTTTTAATAAAAGAATGAAAAACGTTTTACTCACCCATAATGACACTTAAAAGAATAAACAGGAGAAGTATTTTAGGAATCATCCTTTCTGTTTGTGTGAACAGGAAAATAAATGGTGGTCTTATTTATACGAACAGACAATTAATAATTCATATAATTTTTGTTGTAGTTTAAAGAGGGAAAGATTTTAACTCAATATCATTCACAGTCTTCGCCATTGCAAGCTCGACTTATTGGTCAGTTTAAATCAACATTGATGTTATTATCTTACCGTGAAAAGATGGGCTTCTAATATCCAATATTAAAGACAAAATGAATATTTTAAAATTGGCAGACGAATCGCGTGCCAGAATGCTTTCGAGTGCCATTTGAAGTGAAGCTACTCGATGAATCAGGCAAAACACACCCCACATGAGAATACTACCGGTGAAGACTGAAATAACCAAAGATTGCCAAGTTGGACTCTGCTTATTTTGCCGAACATAAATGATTAGAAATTACAGTAAAAACAGAAACGATTAAATGTAAATAGGTTTATATTGCTAGATGCCAAAGAATACCGATTTAGCTACTTTATAAGGGAAAATCAAATCCAGAATAAAATGATAGATAGAGTGGATCTTCCAAAACATACTGATTCAACCATGTTCATTGTAATGTTTACATTATCTACTGGTTTTAGACCGCCATCTTTATGCTTCTGTTGGGTTCCCAAATATGTTTGATTTGTATCTGCTAACGTGGAGGTCAAGACCTTATTAGCACCCAGAGTTCTAGTTTAATTTTAAATTAATGTCCTTCTGTTATACTGCCGCTTTAAATAATACATTTGCTTAAAAACCAAGTAACTGTGTATATCTACAAACTGTTGTTATAAAGACTAAGCGTGGCGTATAAATGTATTCTACCTCCATGTATTATAGAGCTAATTTTGTTTGATTTTTATTATAACAGAAAATAAGCAATTGTGGACGATGGACGGGAGTCACAACAATATACTAATCGGGAATATTAAATGAAGCCTATGTCACTAACATAACAATTTGGACCCAACCCAATGCACTTTAATGGACAAAAGCAATCTTTTGATATTTATAGGGTAACCCCACTTCTGTTCAACAATAAAACACATTTCACGTGTTTTCATCTCTGAATACATTGAATAAATTATCTTCATATTATTTGCTGGTTTGGTTTGAAATATTCTTTGGCCTATTTATGCCGTCATTTCTTAATCGAAAGGATGTTAGTAGTATGGTTAATCTGTATTGGTGAGTTTAATTATTTGATAATTCAACTTCAAAAGCCTAATCCGTGCCAGATTTACTTACATGCTTGCAAAAAAGCCTAGGACCTCCAGATATTGGGGGCCTCCGACCAAGGTGTATCATATTTTTGACGCTCGCATAAACCTTTTCTCACATGCACTGTAGTGTTAAACACCCGTCATCATTTCCGGCTTTGCTCAATTATGTTTAAAGGCTCAATACCACTCTTGTTGTAACTGAATAATATGTCCCAATCTTTATTCTGGTCAACAAATTGCACTATTTTACAATATTCCAATTAATTGATGATACAAATTTCATCTTAACACACCTAATTTAAAAAAATTGGAAAAATTCAACTAAATGATTTGAAAAGCCTGACGTAAAGCTTTTCAAATGTGACTTGGATTTAAAAATATTTTTGAACCCTCTGGACAAGTAAAATAGGATTTAATCGATAATTTACACAACAGGTAAGACACTAACACATTTAGTACTTAGAATAAGGCTATTTTTATTTTCTGGAGCTGTCAAGCCAGCAAGAGTGTTATTGTCCCTTTAAAGGCGTATGGCTCTATTCTTTGGTCCCTTAAAATAGACCAAAATTGGTCTAAAAGCACATATTAATGTAATATGAATGTATATACATTGATTTATATTCATTTTTTTTTAAAACATTATTGTAATTTCTAATTAAGTTCGGAGAAATACATGAACTACGACAGACCATTAGGTTCAATCAAATAACAAAAATCTGATTATCTTGTAATTACAAGATAGCTATCTTTAAAACACATTCATTATAGTAGGGGCCTTATATGTGGAATAGTCAGGGGTCTCTCTTTATCTAAATCCGATCCTTAGCCTATTACAGACATGTTTACCCACAGGAAAGATGGGGTTCAGTCAAACTTGCAGCAGATGATATCTGAACAAACCAGTATCCATTTCTTCTTATTTATGTCAAAATATTATTATTTTACTGCATTTGTTTGCATGCTATAATGGGGTTATGTCCATTCCTGCTTATCAACATAACGTGAAGGTAACCAATTGCATCAATCACAGCTTACAAAAGGGGTGGGGGGAGACACCTGTTTGATCTTCAAAATTATAATGATTTGTCTTAAATCTGCAGATGGTTATAACCAACTATCGTTACAAAATCGTGCGTAAAAGAGTAGGATTTGGTCGGGGGGGGGGGGACTTTCTTTAAATCTTAAATATTTGATTTTAAATCCATTGAAGACTGTTATAACAAGCCATCTTTTAAAAATATTTTGATGGTCAATCTATTTACTATGCTTAACCAGGTACTGGTCTTTATCCAACGAGCAATTTGTGTAAGTTTCTCTTTTTGTGTATTAAATTTTCAGAATATTACTTTTAGTGTCGGTTGATGGAAAAATTAAACCAAACTAAATGAATATTAACAATGGCGGAGGACGATAATGTAACAACGACTGCATCCAATAGATGGAATTGGAAACATCGGAGTGTGGATAAAGGTAAAATTACTTGCAAGGTCTTAAAAGATACGGCATCTTTGATTTGGGTACAAGATAATAGTATTGATTTAATTATGTTCTTTTTGTCGATTTGACATTTTACGAAAGGGCATTAATCCCATAAAGAATAAATATTGGCAGACTGGGTTACAAAAAACTGTACAATGCGTTGTAAATGTAACACAGTCTGCTTTACAACGTATTCCGCAATTCATTTGCATTTTATTAAGTGATATATTTAAAATATGTTAAAATAAAGGCTTAATAAAATGCACGAGACCTATACAACTATTATTTAGACAGTTATTCACATGGCAAGCCTATAACCAACTCTCTAGACAATTGGGTGGCGGAGATTTAAGTGGTTATGTCTCGAATAACAAGTACCGTTATTACGATAAAAAAAAATAACAAATCTATGCCACGTCTTGCCAAAACTTCAAACGGTGATAACTTCGCTCAAAATAAGTAATTTGAATGATATTTTAATATATTCATTTTGCAGTATCTTTTTTTTTAACTATTATAGCAAAAACGTAAGCTTATGGTGTAACAATAACCACTGCGGGTTTCTTCCGTATCAGAGCGTCGACATAGCTAGCTTGGAATGACAGCATGGCTTGTGAATGCCATGAGGCTATAGTTTCTAACGGGCGTTTTTTCGAATTTGGTGTGAAGCATTGGGCTCATGAGAGGAGGACCACTATGGATACTTGAGTTCCGCGACCTTTCGTTCTGGCGTTACCCCCCTTTTTCCGAAAACCTTGTTAACGCGATAGATTGTTTATCAAGCTTGTGAATATGACATAGATCAGGTCCCAATTTCACAAAGCATTCTCAGATTTAAGTTAGGAATTTACTCAAAATTGTCCGCCTTATTTTAACTAAAATATATCTCTTATATATTTTTTTTTGTTGTTTTAAGGTATCAAATACACCAATAAGAAACTATGTGCAAAGTTTTATGTTTCTGGATCAAAGAAATTTCTCATAAACAGTGATTGAAAGTTGAGTAAATTCTGAGAATGCTCTGTGAACTCTTGGGCCATGTATTGAATCCTGGAAGGCATATCCTGATCAAATTTGGTCAACATCCTAGTTTACCTTTCGCATAACCTTCTGTCTATGTAGTTATTGAAATAAAAACTTGTAGTCTAGCTGACGCGGACGTCGGTTGTTGGTTGATCGTCCTCTCAGAAAATTTTGAAAAAAAAAACGACCATATCTAGACCATAAACATTTCATAACGCAGGTTATTTGGTATGGGAGGTTTGGTATTGGTTGATTGTCCTTCGATAAAATTTTGAAAAATCGGGGTATTAATGGGGATTTGTGGCGAATATGTGAACAGGATGTAATAACATTCCATTTCAATCATGTAACAAACATAAAAACTTTCAAGTTTCGTAGAAACATAATATGTAGGTTTTTATACTGTTATCTGGGGGATCCGGTCCATTAGATCCCCAACACCTGAATCCACCATTGCAAGGGTTCCCTAAACATTGGGGGGCCTGGCGTAGGTACGCCATGGGTAATCCGCCACTGCGTCTGTGGCTATCTTATTTTCGAAACATTTTTATAATGTGTGTTTCTTAAATCTGCAAAGATGTCTCTTACAGAGTAACATTTAATTCTTTATTTTAGATTACACGATAACTGCTGGATTCATTTCCGTGTGTTTAGCAATGATGATAATCATTATCATTGTTATATGGTAAATATTCATCTAATATAACTAAAATATGCCAAAGGAACATTATCGTTGATGTCTGGTTATAATAGATCTAATCAGTTGAGTAGTTGCCCAAAATAAATACATTTCATTACAAAGGTTCGACATATGGTACATATTATTTTGAATATAAAAGGTTAAATAAAGGAACATATTATCTTCGAAAGTCGGGTTATAATAAATACAATCAGTTTAGTAGTTGCCAAAATAAAGGTATTTTATTACGATGGCTCCTCACTTATAAGTGAGTGCACTTCGATATTCATACTTCACTTGACTTCACGTTGTGTTCTTTTAATAATCAAACCCACGTTATTCTAAATACATGTTTATATCACATAAATAAAAAATTCACAACATAATTGAAAATATCCAAAAATAAAACGCTAAGAAAAAGTCGAATCCAGGAAGAAAACTTTATATGGACGCTTGGACTTCAGTGGAATCGCTGATACCGACAAAACCGTGCATCAGATTTCAATGCAAGGGCCCATGTGCATGTATCCAGTACTAAGTCACTTGACAAAAGGCGGTGTCTAAGGCGTTCTCTCACTAACCAGGGGCTCCTGGGATGTTCCAGTGTGGTCTCAGTGGTGCAGGGGTAGAGTATGGCAAGAAATGAAATGCAATGGGGTTATAACGTCCTACTTTTCTACACCGACTGTACTCTGAGAGAAAGTTGTCGACCTTGTTTTTCGTTAGACTTGGGCAATGAAGTCATCAGCAGAAAAGGGACTCTAAATCATTTCTGTGGCGACGTAATTTTCAAACCAGTTAATTTCCAGAACACTTAATTAGCAATTACACCATCTGTATCTGTACACCACTGCCTTTGACTCACGTGTTTGACCGATGTGTGTCAGACCTGATAAAAATTGTTTACACATTAGGAATATCTACAAAACCACACCCTATCCACATGCCAATACTTAATACATAAAGAATATCTATCAAGACGCAATGTGTGGCTATTATTACCATTGTATCAATATTCAGAGCTATATTTCTCCCATCACACAACGATGCGTTGACATGATTTTGAATTACTGGTGCCATGATTACGCATGTGAGCTCGTGATAACCTTTAAAATATTATATCAGAGGCCAACAAATGCAGGTTGTTAATATTGTTATTATTTAAGCTGCCCTAGACGCTTTTATACTTTTGCCTACACTATAATATCCAATTATTCCGTGTTTTCTTATCTTTTAGTAAATTAAAACGGAAGAGAAGAATCAATGAATATGACGTTCCACTTACTGTAAAGCTGGTCAGCACAGAACGTCGACGATTTAAGCCGTCTTCTGATGGTGTTCTAAAGCCAACAAATAAGGGAATAGAGCTCACACTTTTTAAGTATTAGTCTTTAACACAAGATTATTGGTCAGCATCAATTTGGAGAACTGTATTCTGGAAATTATCACCAAGAGAAGAACCATAGGAAATTCTTAAAGATATTATTCCCCGACAGTCAAGATCTTGCATATATATACAGTAACTGTTTTACGGACTGGGTATAGTGATGTGAGGCTATTAGAATCACCCCCGTTGAAATTGCACAATAACTATTGTACCTTTTTACAAAACAATGATACTCGTTTGCTTTTTGTCAAATTTCATAAATACTACGATCAAATTTGTAAAGCAAACCAACGCGAAAATAATGCAAATAATTTCACAGTGCTGAACTTTTATATATATTTTGGGTAAGCTAAGCATAATTTAGTAGTATTGGATTGTAAATTTTCATTGCCAAGAAACTACATGGTAGAATGAACAAATGGAGTTTGCAAAGGTAAATGCAAGGCTTCAAATGCAGCTAAAACTGACAGACAAACGTTTTGACAATTTCACATAGATACTTTTTATCACAGCTGATAGTAACGTCAAATAGAATGTGCCCAAAAGGTTAAGACAACAGTGATATATTTTAGTAACTATTTTGTTATGACTTTGCTTAAGTACCCTAATTACAGATTTCTTGCTACAATAAATATGAGATTGTAAGTATTGTCATTCAGGATCAGAGAAAGTTGTTCTTTAATAAATAACCTTATTTTTCTTAGTCATTATACACATATCATATGCACACCTTCAGATCAAACTAAATTTAAAGAGTCTAACATATTATTGAACTATGCTTAAGGGGGGGGGGGGGTGGATGGCTGAATGGTTAGCACATGCCTGCTGTATCATAAAGCCTGTCATTGAGTCAACTGGTGTGGTTTCGAATCCCTGACGTGACAAGGAGTAGGGTCGCCTGTCCAACCTCGTGGGTTTTCTCCGGGTCCTCCAGTTTCCTCCCACTGCTAAAGACCCCTACGCGCAAGCGAATTATTGAAATAAAATTAAACCATTATGTTAGTCCCGAAATGACCTAGTTTGTGTCAAGTGGACGTTAAACCCCATTTCTCTCTCTCTCTCACTATGCTTAAAGGGAACATGTAAGTACCAACAGTATATTCAGATATTCACAGTGCAGTTTATGGAATTTCTTCCCTGAAATAATACCAAATCTGGATTTTGCAGAATTTTTTTCAGAAATCATGTTTTGTGATCTTCTTCAGCTATTCATTGAAGTTCTCAAATTTCAGTCACTTTGAAATATAATAAAAAATCCCAACATCTAAATATTTTTGTAAAGCCCCATGGAGATGGGTTTTACTGTTTCAATTATATTTTTAAAAAAGACATTCTAATCTTAAAATACTGTTTTGGAGATTTTGTAATAGTATGCATACAATCATTGATTTTCCCCCCCAAAAAATATGTCCATGTAGTATCAACATAACCAACCTACAAATCATATCCACTTGGGTTTACGGACCATCATTTCAAGATATTTTGGACAACATAGAAATGAAATGATACAAAATGTGGTTTCACGTCTTACTGTTTTGCTCTGACTGGGCTAATGAAGACGTGCATACGCCATACAGTATTATATGAGGGAAATTTTGCCCAAACATCGGTGCTACTCTTATATCGAATTCCAACTGCCAAGGGATGTTGTACGTGCACACCAATGTGTAAAAGGGATCTCGGTTTTTTCCTCCCACCTGAACAATTAGACAGTTATCCTTATCAGGCCCTTCGTCCTGCATCAATGACAAGGGCAAACCACGACAGAACTTTCTCGACCAACACCGAGAGCAAACCCACAACCTCCAGGCTAGCGAGCCAGCATCTTACCCACTTAGCCACTGTGGCTCCTTTTGGAAAACAAAATATATCTATGAATGTTTTAAAAAAAAGTAAAATGTTTTTCTAATGCCAAAAAATAATGGTTTATTATGCTTTTACACAGATCTGTTACATCTCTTTGATCTTGTAATAGAATGGTGTAAATAATGAATAATATACATTTTAATTGCAATATTAATCACAGCTTGTATCAATCATACAATCAGAATTTGTTCTTGTGTATAATATAAATTCAGTATCAAATCTAGAATTTACTAAATAATGTTAAAGAATTTACTGCTTTTAAACATATTTAAATTTGTGTATGACTTTTACAAACTATAAGATTATGGACAGTATGTACCATTTTCATTTTGAGTAAGGAACAACGTGGTATAGTTTCTGTATAGTTACCTAATCCTAATTTTTGTATGCATCATTACAAACAAAAGCCAGTATGTAACAATCCTTACTTTAAGACATGTTATATGCATAACATAAACTTAAAGATACATTATGTAATATTTAGATAAAGAGCTGGCAGTTCTTGGTATAATAGTTAAAAAATAGATAACGAAACGGGATTATATGTTGAAAATTTAAGTCAAATAAGTTCATCCTGAGCAGAGTTAGTGTAGTATTGAATGTCAATGCTGCCATTGTAATGATAATAAAGAAAGTCTTGATTATCCATTTTTAAATTAAATTATTAACTGGCAATCATGTTTAAATCCATTGAAAATCAAAACCATCTGATAGTCTAGAGAGTTGAATATGGGCTTGGCATGTGAATAAATGCCCGATTAATGATTTGTATAACATTTTGAGACCAAACGCGAAAAACCAGTGATCCCAATTGAGTATTCACTGGTGTCTACTGATAAGTTCATAGCTGTGTTTTTCCTTATTTAGTTTGACTTACATAATGCATCTTTAAGAGTAGCAAACAACACTTTTACTTTGATTAATGATTTACAGCTTTTGTACATTATCTTATCAGTCATTTTTACAAAGCGAATCCAAAATACAATACTGGTAGTTGTCCTAAAGCAGATAACACATTTTTTAAAACATTACTAATTACAAAGTTTATGTTTATTTCAATTCTTGATTAAACTATAAATAATTAATAAAGAATATATAAGATTGTCTAAATACTATATAATGCTGTATGTAATACATGGTATGGTATATAAATTATTAAATGGCACCAAGGTGTAGCCATATCTACTAATATAACTTCTCTTTACTTAATCTCAGTAAAATGTAATAGACAGCAGGGACGGACTGGGCAGCTCTGTACCCTTGGACCAATTGGTTCCCATGGTCCCCTGATCATGGTGGAGAATATGTGACATGACAGACAACGAAACTGGCTTGATACATCTTTTCCACACTCCACTCATAGATCATTTTTCTCCTCAGATTTAGACTATTACATATTTCAGTGGATGCAAAGATGAATTTTCCGCCCCTGGTAGATGGTATTGACACTTCTACTATCTACTAATATAACTCCTCTTTACCTAATCTCAGTTAAATGTTTATAAATTGAATGTGGGAAAATACTGTTAAATGTTATGAAAAATAAAAAGAACAAAAAACAGAAGCCTTGAGCTCACCACACACTTTAATTACATGAACTGATGGCATTAAGGATATTTAAGCCAAGGTTCAATAAGCTTGATGTTTTCTGAAGAATGAGAGATAATACTTTAAAAAAAAACAGTCTCTGATCATTGGTGAGTAAACTTAAAGCAAACAAATGAATATTCATCAACAGAAAATATAAGGCAAAACATTTACTGTATACACAGTAATGTTTGCCAAATGAAGATAGGAGAATGGAAAACACATGCTTCAAACACTTAAATAATGAAATTTATTAAAATTAAACAGAAAATGAATGAATTACAGAGTATTGTTTTTAAGGCTTAAGATAAAGATAACTGTCAATTTAAAGGACAATGTTAGTGCCCATCAATCTTACATACGTGATAGAATTGGTTAACATATTCCAGAATACTTTTAACATTTGCTATGGGTGTATTAACCACAATTTGAAGGTTCAGTGGTGCAAAAAAAAAATAAAAAAATTCACTACCTGTGCAGATTAAGAACAAAAGTCACATTGCTTTTAGTAGTATTCCTTAAAGAAAAAGCTCAAATTAATTAAAACTGTGATACACTCACCTTTCTTTCTATTTTACTTATTTTTTTAATCTCGTGGCAATCCGTTCTTTCATGAAAAGTTGGTTTACAAACTGATATTTTCTCACGATTTTATATAAAGATCTTCTCTCAGAAGAAGAATTATCATTGAGGTGAAAATCGTCAATCTACAGTTCAATCGGTAACAATTACTGATTTCCTTTTTTTTGTTGTCACTTCCAGAACAATCAACCATAGTAAAGTTCTCAAGTCAATTACATAATGTAAAATTGGTGGACAGAAACATTGTCCTTTAATTGCAAATCATACAAAAATGAAATGGTATTTCTTAATATTCTGCACAATCCAGGCTAATGAAGACTGAGAAACATACATGAAATGTTCATCAACATTCTAGAACTTTACAATAAACATTCTAGCTGGTGTTCTGGTGTTATCTTTCGTTTTGTTTTACTTTGGTTAATAATTCACAATCCTTGAAATTTTAACCTCTATGTTACATATCTATGCAAAAATATTTCAACAATTTTGAGCAAATAAAATCAACCATGCTTTTCAGACATGTATTGCTCCTCGTTTGGCTATTTAATCTTTGGTATGTACACAGCTTTTAGGTAAAACAGAAAAATTTACAATTTGAATTATAAAACAAATAAATTCAAGCATGGAAAACAAATATATACTAAAATTTGATCTATAGCCTCCAGTATTTTGTAAAATCAATTGTAAAAAGGTCTTTGTAAGTTTAGTCAGAAATGTACATACATGTGAAGAGCTTAAATGCAAAAATGGGTATCATCATTTCTTCAAAGAATGAGATAATTACGTCAATATATCAGAATTGAGCAAAGTTAGGTTCCAACCATAATGCTGTGCTATGTGAGACCAATAGATTCACTCTCAAAATTTAAGGGCAGTCTCATAAATACCATTTACTCAAAATGGATATAACCAGTTTCACGTTTACACTCATCACATATATTCCTACAAAATCTGTGGAAACCTTATCTATGTACAGTATATAGGTATTTATGTTAGTTTTGCATAAATTAACAGGCATTGTAATTACAGTGATCTGTTAAATATTGAAGTGAGAGTACAAGTAGATACCTTCCAATGTTTTTCCTATGAATGTTTGGATTGTTTAAATCTCATGGTTATTTTCAGTTAGCTATGAACTTTATGACAACAAAATGTTAATATTGTACTGCACATGCTCTATGGTATTCTATGTACACCACTCTTTTTGTGACTGGATAACCTAGTACAATGTTGTCAGCAACCTATTAATATCCTATGCTTATAGTTAGATTGATGACAAGTGTTGACAAGTACTTAAAAGTACCAAAGCTACATACACAGGATGCAACATCGATAGTTGGTTCCAGATTTTATATCTGAAAGAGTATTCTAACAAAGCTGCCAATAATTGTCCAACAATCAAATGTGGAAAATTTGAAAATAGAGATACATATATAGATATCTATATAACATGTACAGTTACTTTTAAATATCATAGCCAATCTTTACCAATAAAAGTAACAAATGTATCTCTATCAGTGGATGGTACTATATTAAATTCCAACAATTTAAACAGAATTTAGGATTCTGTATTTCATCTGAAGTGCCTCGTTACACTATTGTAGATCTAATGGTGAAGAACTACATCTTTACTCACTCATCATACTAAACGGGACGGCATGGTGCTGCAGCGTCTGTATTCCTATTATTTAAATTACTAATTAAAATTCTAGATGTTAGACTGGGGTCATCTATTGTGGAGAAAGTTTGCAAGCATTACAAGTCCAAAGCTGGTCCAGACAAACCAACCAATTCCAAGTGTTTTCCAAAATCCAGTATCTTCCAGGCTGACTAATCTTTCAGAAAAGTAGAAAAAAAAATCATAATAAAAATGCTATAGAAAATACACATGTATGGATAAAAATGAATAAATATAACGACCTGCAAACTAACACAGATAGTGGGGTTTTAAAGGCCAAATAGCCAGTATTTGAGACTTATGTTCATGACAGCTAGCAGTATCCAAAGGCTAGCTCAACAGCAGCTTCAATTGCTTCATAAGGTGTTTTTGAAAAAGATTAATAAATAGCTTTGAATATGCAGATTATAGGATGAACAAATGAGAGAAGCAAACATTTTCTTCCTAAAATGTCAGTTGCCTAAATTGCAAAATTTAATATTAACTCATGATCCTTTAAAAATTTGACTGTATTGTAATCTAACCGATCTCTCCAAGGAAATTTATGAAAATTAGACGGCCCAAACACATTTTCCTGCAAATTCAGCCCACGAATACAGCAACTTGAAAGTGGTCCAGTATATATATAGCCCATCTGAACCCAAATCAATCTATTAGACTGTTGTCGTTGCATGCATATATGACTACTATATTTCTGAAATATTGATGTTAAATAATGATCGATGTACGAAAACTTTATTTCGGGCACTTTGTTTAAAAGGACAAAAAAGTTTTTTTCCCAAAAATATCATATCTATTATTTTTTTTCACTTTACCCATCTGCCTGTGAAAAAGCTGATTGTGTGGATCTCAGAGGAGGGCTCTGAGGGGATGTCAAATGTAGCAGAAATAATACAAAAAAAACCCCTGATTTTTATCATATTGTTCACGATAACTTATCACTATTTTCAAACTGAATAAATCCTCACCTTTGCTTTCATCTTTCTGTGCCCAATTCAATGATCTTTCTACAGCCATTTTCCATCGTCCAAATCTCTGATCTCTCTCTATAAGGGTAAAATATTATATTTGTGAAGTTTCATTTAAACATTTTTTTTCACAAATATTTCTTATTAACAATTTAGTATTTGCATTAAATGACATAGCATATGATATAACATAAGTCACAAAATAATAGCCCAGACAGTCGGTGCAGAAAAGTAAGATGTTAAACTCCATTTCATTTCACAAAATGACAGAATAAAAATATACCGTAATAATAAAATGAATAATATGCCTTGGGTTGAGTATTTGTCGCAGTAAAGGCCCATGTACATGTACATGGAGAATCCAGTAGAATTTATTGGAGCTAATTTTGGGACTAACAAATGGTTCAAGTTTATTTCAATAATTCACTTGTGGGGAGAAAATCCACAAGGGTATAAGGAAGGTTTTTATTATGGGTATCATTAGAATAGCCTCCACCCATCCCAAACACAATTAATATGACTTACCTGTCTCTCTGATGGAAGGTTGAAAAACATCTGTAACAATTTCATTTGATCCAAGGTTATCAAGATCCCATACTTTCACTCCTTCAGCATATCCAGCAGCCATGGCAGCACCTAGAGCTGTAGTCTCTGTCATAGATGGTCGGACTATAAACAATATCATAAATAGTTAAATAAGTTCTGACTATTTGTATCATTATAAAACCAAGATACATTATGTAAGATTTAGATAAAGAGCTGGCCATTCATACTATCTTAGTTCAAAAATAGATAATGCAAAATGAATATATTGAACATTTCATACAAATTGCTCCATTGCGAGCGAAGATATTAGCTTTTGAAGGTTTGACAAGATGTGTGCATCAATTGCAACCACCTGTACTGTTTGTTCAAAGCTTAGCCTAGTTTCACCATTTGTAAATTAAATCAAAATGTGGCTGAATCGTTCCAATCTATTTAATATCGGAGATATCCGATGGCATCGAGAGTTGATTATGGTCTTGTCATGTTAATAAATGTCTAATTAATAGTTTATATTTCAGACCTAAAGAAAAACCTACAATAGGCAGATTTAGCTCTTGCATAATGTATGTTTGAAATGTTAAGTTGTTAATATGGTAATAATGATGGTATCATGTCATGATTCTAGTCATGATTCATATCAACTTGACATAAATCATGCCAAAATCTATCAATGGTAAATTGATTATAAAATTCAATCTGTATTAGGCACCAAAATATCTGTGTTTTATGTTACTTGGTCAAATAAAATAGGTACGGTCAGATTATTTATTTTTTTCTTCTTCATAGGATGGGCTTGGGTGGTTGGTAAAAAGGGATAGAACTAATTAAATTAATCTTTCAATATGATTTTGCAAAGTGAACAAGGCCCATAACTCTAGATGTAATTAACAGAATATCTATATAATTCCTTGAAGATTCTATGATATAAATTTCAAGCAGATTGGATGATAACTTCTGACAAGAAATAGTCCTTACCTACGTTGATGCCAAGTAAATCAGCTTGTAGCTGCATCAATAGGTTATTACCAGTCATACCACCATCCACTTGAAGTGATGTTAATGGTATACCACTATCTTTATTCATAGCATCTAATACCTTTAATACATTTATAGTTATTGTACTACAATAGTAATATCTTTAATACATTTATATAGTTATTGTACTACAGTAATAATATCTTTAATACATTTATATAGTTATTGTACTACAATAATAATATATTTAATACATTTATAATAGTTATATTGTAATACAATAATAATATCTTTAATACATGTATATAGTTATTGTACTACAAGAATAATATCCTTAATAAATTTATATATATATAGTACTACAAAAATAATATCTTTTTATATGCCCACATTTTCATGTGGACGTATTATGCCGTCGCCCCTGTCCGTCCGTCCACAATTTGTTTGTGGACACTCTACAGGTCACAATTCTTATCCGATTTTGACGAAACTTGAAATATAGGTTTATCTCCAAAAGATCTCGGCTGCTTTCGATATTGGCATGTATCGGATCGAAACTTCATGGATTATGGCCCCTGTTTGTACGAAAAATCACGTTTTTAGCTTGTGGACCCTATAGAGGTCACAATTTTTATCCTATTTTGTTGAAACTTGAAATGTAAGTTTATAACCCAAAGATCTCGGTTCCTTTCGATATTCGCTCATATCGGACCGTAACTTCCTGAATTATGGCCCCTGATTGTACGAAAAATCGTGTTTATAGCTTGTGGACCCTATAGAGGTCATAATTTTTATCCGATTTAAAAAAACATATTATTATATCACCGTTACACTCTAAGGACGACCGAGTTCGAATTTCGTGAAAATCGGCCCAAAATTGACAGACAAAAAGGCCTCTATAGGGTCCACAACCTTGATATACCATATTTTTACGATATTTGAGAATGAACGGCAGCCATTTTGTCTGTCAATTTTGGGCCGATTTTCACGAAATTCAAACTCAGTCGTCCTTATGGTGTAACGGTGATATAAATATACGTTTTTTTAAATCAGATAAAAATTATGACCTCTATAGGGTCCACAAGCTAAAAACACGATTTTTCGTACTATCAGGGGCCATAATTCAGGAAGTTACGGTCCGATATGCGCAAATATCAAAAGGAACCGAGATCTTTGGGTTATAAACTTACATTTCAAGTTTCAACAAAATCGGATAAAAATTGTGATCTCTATAGGGTCCACAACCTTGATATACCATATTTTTACTCTATTTGAGAATGAACGGCGGCCATTTTGTCTGTCAATTTTCACGAAATTCGAACTCAGTCGTCCTTAAGGTGTAACGGTGATATAATAATATGTTTTTTTAAATCGGATAAAAATTTTGACCTCTATAGGGTCCACAAGCTAAAAACGCGATTTTTCGTACAATCAGGGGCCATAATTCAGGAAGTTACGGTCCGATATGCGCGAATATCGAAAGGAACCGAGATCTTTGGGTTATAAACTTATATTTCAAGTTTCAACAAAATCGGATAAAAATTGTGACCTCTATAGGGTCCACAACCTTGATATACCATATTTTTATGCCATTTGAGAACGAACGGCAGCCATTTTGTCTGTCAATTTTAGGCCGATTTTCCTGAAATTCGAACTCAGTCGTCCTTATGGTGTAACGGTGATATAATAATACGTTTTTTTAAATTGGATAAAGATTATGACCTCTATAGGGTCCACAAGCTAAAAACGTGATTTTTCGTACAATCAGGGGCCATAATTCAGGAAGTTACGGTCCGATATGCGCGAATATCGAAAGGAATCGAGATCTTTGAGTTATAAACTTACATTTCAAGTTTCAACAAAATCGGATAAAAATTGTGACCTCTACAGGGTCCACACGCCAAAAACGTGATTTTTCGTACAAACAGGGGGCCATAATCCATGATGTTTCGATCCGATACATGCCAATATCGAAAGCAGCCGAGATCTTTTGGAGATACACCTATATTTCACTTTCGTTAAAATCGGATAAGAATTGTGACCTGTAGAGTGTCCACAAACAAATTGTGGACGGACGGACGGACGGATAGGGGCGACGGCATAATACGTCCACATGAAAATGTGGGCATATAAAAATCAAGCGTATCAAAATTTTTAATAATACTGTATCAATAATTTAATAGCAATTGATTAAAATCTCTTTATCTTTACATGTACCCGTATAAAAAAATATTTAAGTATCACAACTCAAAAAGAGAATTATTTAAATATTTAATGTTTTTGAAGATTTTGAGATATATCTTTTCATGCATAAATAATTTTCTACTCTTGATATGACTTAAAACATTAGCAATATAATATTCACTATGACAATAATCAAGAGACCCAGGTAGATTACTTCAGTTATTTACCCTTGATTAATTAATAAGAATGTACGTGGATTGAGGATTTCACTTAGTGAGAAATGAAATGAAATGAAATGGGGTTTAACGCCCTACTGTTCTGCTCCGCTATGAGGGAAATTTTGTCTGGACGGCGGCACTACGGCCTATTCTTACATCGAATTCCAACTGCCAAGGGATCTTTTGCATGCATGCCAATGTGTACACTCGACCTCGGTTTTTCGTCCCATCTGAATGACTAGACAGCTATCCTTGTCCGTTTCTCCGTCCTGCATCACTGACAAGGGGGAACCATGCCAGAAAATCTGGATGAACTTTCTCGGCCAATGATGGGATCAAACACTCGACCCCCAGGGCTCGTGAGCCAGCTTCTAACCCACTTAGTCACCATAACCCCCATAATTAGTAAGAAATGCTCACAACCCTTTCAATAAACCAAAAGAAAAGTGTGTGGTTTAATTGGGGTAATCATGGGGTATTTGTGTCCAGCCTTGATAAGAACAATATATAAACAGATAATGTTACAATCCTGGAAGCAGACCACCAACTACTTTCCTTATCTTGGTTCCCATGAATCTAGTTCCTGAAATATATAGCCATTTTCCCCTCTCTTACTTTCCCCTCTGTTTTGCATGGTGATTTTTGTTTATTCTTTGGTCTTCAAGTGACATTTTCTGCCGGCTTTGCTGCATAAGGAAGGATCGCAGAGTAAAGTTACTAGTGGGCTACTTAAAATTTATACATCACAAATTATCCATGGTCAGTCTCATACATGTAGAGAGATAAGAATTAACATTCAAGTCAATGGAAAATATTGAGTGGTCTGCCTCCAATTATAATTACAATGAAAATTAGTTGATAATTACCTCCCTTGTTTGAAAGCAGACAGCTTCTAGTGCAGCTCTAGCCAAGTGATGTTTATTGGTATATTGAGTAAGACCACAAATTGTTCTGTGAAGTAATTTCAAAATATTGAACAGATATTATTTCATGTCTTAGCTTACTTGGTCATAATAACTACTTTCAAGTTATGAAAATGTATAAAGAAAAACATAAAACATCAGCTTTTTAACCATGACCTTAAACTTGACAGTGATTATGAACACTGGTATGAAATGAAATGGGGTTTGCTGATAGACTAAACAAAACAGTTGATATAAAAGTTTTACTTTATACTTCTATTAAACCTATGCAGCTATACCACTCAAACCTGCATTGATAAGCATTTATGGAAATGTACAGTTCATTTCAATAGGAGCATCATTAACAACAAAAATGAAAGTTGGAATTTTGAGACAAATGTATTGAGTCATAACAACATACACAGGGGCTACAATTTAAGTTGATTTTGGAACCAGGCCCAGGGACAATTTACCCCCCCCCCCCCCCAACAAAACCCCCCAGTTTATCATGGTACAGTAAGTGTACTAATGGTTAGTGATCTAATAATAACCGTATCAACTGTTTCATGGATATTTAAATCCTGTGAAATTATAGTAAATATCTATTTCAACATAATATCAATCTTACCCTCGTGCATCATCTTGCCAATATGGACAGAAAAGACCAGAAAATGCTGGTACAAAATAACAGCCAGCAGTATTATCAACAGCAGATGCCAATTTCTCTAGATAACAAATAACAAATATAAAATTTACTAAGAAGTCCAGGAAATAGGACTGATCACAAAGACAAATTTTTTCTAACAACTCGTCTATCAATAGAAATGCAGCAAATGTTGTTTTAAAATATAACTTCATAATAACCATTTTTTTTACAAGAAATGTAATGGTGCTATTTCTTTTCTATTTGGTGCAGTATTTCATGATGATATTCACAACTAATATGGACAATTTGTCTGATATGACACAACAGTTCCCATGGGGTCCTAGGAAGAAAAGTCTAACCAAAATTGCACATCTATCTCATCAATGACTTGACATATGGTACCCAGACTAATGGTCTTGAGTTTTTAGGAACATAAAACTTCTGACTGAAAATTCAACTTACCTACATCAGGGGCACTTTGTATAATACCTAAATTATCTCGTAACCATTTAACACATGCTCCAGCTATAGCTACTGCTCCCTATATAACAGATAGGTCATTATAAGTTACTTTGAAATCAGGAGCCTTGATGGATCAATGATGGGGAATGTTTTATTCCGGTGTTGGTTAAGAAAGCATCCCTGGATCTGGCAGCGTGGATTCCCCATGTCAGTGGTGTAGGACGGGGGGGGGGCATGACAAGGCAGTCTCTATTTGTTTTGATAGGATGAAAACCGAGGTCCCGTGTAGACGCTTGCGTAGGCCATAGAGACACTGTCTGGCCAAAATTTTTCTGATAGCACACGTACAACCATCTTCATTAGGTCAGTTGGTGAAGAAAAGTAGAACATTACACCCTCATTTCATTTCATACTTTGAAATCATCGTTCAAGAACTGACCATATTTTACAGTTACTGAATTTGACATAAGGGAGGTAACTCTTGTGAAGTATTTGCTTGTCATATGACCTGATGGTTGTACACAATGTTTTAAAAGCTGCAGTGTGTAGAAAATATACAGGAAAGGTTGGACTGACCATAGCAATATTGTTTAAGATAAAAAAAATTTTTAAAAAAAAGGACAAAGTTAAAATGTAATAATTTACCTCCAAAGCATATATTACTGGTTTATTTTTGCCCAATTTATAAGCTACAGTTGTTAATACACCAGTTTTCGATTCAACAAGCTGAAATAATAAAAATAAAATAAATAGACTGATATCAAATTATTATAACAAAGTTTTTGATAATGAATCATCCAGACTTCAGAGTCCGTCCCTGATCTCTAGATTCAATTTTGTATTTTCTGTCAGGTTTTACATAAATTTCACAATTTTGAAGACAATAGACATTCTTGTAGTCATTTAATTGTGAAACAGTACTAAAAGAAATCTAGGTTTTTTTTTTCAATACTATTTAAAATATAAATGGACTTCGATATTAACCTAAAGAAGTAACTGTATATTAAATTAAATATGAAAATTATTACTTACATTAGTTCCTGTGTTGTATAGTAGAAAACACCCTGTTCCATATCTATATCAAATTAATTTTAATAGAAAATCAAGACAACATTTGTGACAAGCTATGTATCAAGATACGGGGTGGCAGAATGGTCTAACGTGTGCACTTTAGATCATAAGGTCTATAATTGAGTCAAGTGGCGTGGTTTCAGTTTTTTGCCTGTACACGATAAGGAGTAGGGTCCTTCGTTTTACTCCCACTGGTAAAGACCCTACACGCAAGCTAATTATTGAAATATAATTTAATCATATTGGTCCTAAAATGACCTAGTTTGTGTCTAGAGAACATTAAATCCCATTTCTCTCTCACTCTGGATCAACAGGATATGTAAGGCACCAACTTCCAAGTTATATATTTCAGCCATTTTTTACAGATAAATACATATATCAAATACTAGTTTAAAGGTCTTTAAATACAGAAAATAAATTTATCCGTAATTGTGTTTTTATATTTTTGACCCACATTTAGCTATGATCAAGTCAAATGTATGAAATACTTCAGTTTAAATTTAATTCCCAGATTGTGAAAAGTAGCTTTCAGTTTTATTTAAATTAGGCCATATATAAAAAAAAATTCTGGTTCTCAGATAATCCTGCATCACTTAAAAAAGGAACACATGTGACATGACCTGTTTTTATTTCATTAATGACCAGGAAGTAGCTCTATAAAAAGATTGAATGAATTTAGAAATGTGCCATAGGCTCATTTATCTAGAACGTAAATGTTACTGACAATCATAAATGATACTGGATAATCATACATTCATATAAACATGGTCCAGATAAATATAGTGCCTTGAGATGTGATGTTTATAATGTAGCATGTAGTAATCCTTTGACAAAATAAAATCATGCAAATAAAAACCTCCCTCACGCATGAGATTTTTGGTAAGGAATAAGGATTGTCTGAGAACCTGAATATTTATTTTGTATGGACTTAATAACATTGTATGAAAGTAGCATTCAGTTTTGTTTATATTAATTTCATTGTATAAAAGCTGAGATTAATATGGGCTGAATTACTAACGTATTTTTAGCCTGGCCAACCGAAAAACATGTCTGACCAACTAATGCTGCCTGCTGATCACCCAAAATCTGAAAAACAAAGAAATATAACATCTCAGTACCTAGAGGGGGCTGGGTGGTCTAGTAGGTTTAACAAGGGCTTTTGTTTCGATTCCCCACTTATACGCTACAAGAAGTTGAGTCACATCTCCAACCTTGGGGGTTTTCTCCAAGTCCTCCGGGTTTTCCAGTTTCCTCCCCCTGCTAAGGACCCCTACATGCAAGCAAATTATTGAAGTGCATGTTAAACCCCATTTATCTCTCTTCTCTCTCTCTCTCTTAATTGACAAAATGTCAGTCACTAGTACTTGGCATTTTGAATTTTGTACCGGGCATGTATTTAGTCATTCTGCACACAGAGAACTATTTCCTGAATAGATTACTGCCCTAAATGGCCGCGATATCCACAATCTGATTAAAATACAGATCTGACCGGTTGTAGCGATAGGTCGCGTTAGAGGTCATACGGGGGGCTTTTGACCTATGACGTCAGACATTTGATTAACCAATCACCATTGATGTTACTAGTGGATTACCCACAGTTCCATCAAAATGACAGGCACCAGAGGGAATATCCCTGATAGAGGCTGAATTTGGGCCTTGGCCCTTATTCACGAAAACTTAAACTAAGATACAATCGAAATTTTAAGAAATACTGCAATTCGATTGGCTGACCAGTAAAATCAATTTGCATATATCCAATTTGCATATTGGTCAGCCAATCGAATTGCAGTATTTCTTAAAATTTCGATTGTATCTTAGTTTAAGTTTTCGTGAATAAGGGCCCAGACAATGTCTGTGACAGAGGTCTTATTTCCAGGAATCGTTCCCATTTGCCAACTGCAAAGACATCCTCTAAAATTTACAAGCAATCAAATTGTTCATTAAATATACACCAAGTTTCACTGCTATCACTTATAGAGTTAGCATATCCCTAAATCTCAATCAATCAAATCAAATTGTTCATCAATGCTTAGCCTTCTCGCGAAAAGATCATCATCCAAGATAGGCCTATTCACCTTGTAAACAATTACACCAAATTTGAACATTCTACCTCAGTTAGAAACAAGAGTTAGTGTGCTCAAATAGTTGTGATGGATAGACAAACAGACTAGTGCTACTAGAAAAGATTACCATGGACCTTATAAGGTCTATGAGATTACCTACCCCTGAGATTGGTAGATTTTTTAATGGACCATCAACTACATAACCATAGATTTCAGATGAGCTATGGATAGCTGGAAGAATGCTTTTAGGAATCGAAAAAAATCTACAAAACAGGAAAAATTATTGAAAAAAAATAGATATAATAAGGTTCCTCCTTAGTCCCAATTGAGCAATCCCATTGAGAAATTTGTACTGATTACATTCACAAGTTTAAATGTTAAAATGTGCCAAGAATGATAACTCTGCAAAACCACAATGAGCAATCCCACCAACTTTTAAAAAAAAAATAATTGTCACAAGATTTCATGAATTTGAAAGTTAACGAGGATTGTGGGGGGATGGGGGGATGGGGAATTACTGAAAAATATTCTGAATTTTGTTAACGTTCCTTTTGAGTCCTTATGCCCCCATGTACAAAATTATGCATTGTGTATTTTGATTATTTGACTCAAGTGTTTCAATAGTTTGTATTAAATGGATTAATTATGGTTATTTAGAACAGAATAATATTGATATACTAACTTGCATAGTTTATCATCCCATTGTAAATTATGAATATTCATGAGCATGGTTCTACTGGCATTGGTAACGTCTGTTACATGTTGACCTTTCCCAGGGCCACCTGTCATATTCTAAAAATTAAAATAAGAATCAACTTTAAACACCATTCTCTATGGAAATAGCCCCAAACATATGGAACATAAAAAAAAATATCACATATAGCCTACTTGTTCTGGTTCCGGCATCATTAAAATAACAAATTGAAAAATACCAAATTTCTCAGCTGAACGCTAATATGTACTCAGATTATCTAACACTTAATTGATAAAGAAAACAAAATGCTAATACCAATGTTAGATAATCTCCCGGCTTGAATTGAAAACAATCCATGAATATGAATATCTCGTGCATATAAAGATGGCGGCTGTCTTGTTACATAGGGGGCCACAGAGATTAAGGAATTTTTAATTTGTCATATCTTTGTAAATACTGAACAGAATTGAACCATTTTAGGACCGATATACCCATTAAAATCACAAATGTTTGTCCTTAATTCAGGTTTCAATTAAATTTGCATAAGAAACTATTTATAACTTTTCATATGCCTAACAAAGGAGTTGCTAAGAAGCTTTGCAAAATTTTCAAGAAATATCCTGACAAATTTAAAAAAATTTGTGACATACCCACAGAAGCCATGAATCTACTGTACCAAAACAACATCTATCTTGTTCTACAGCCTTTCTTACTGCCTCACTATTATCTATTAACCATTTCAATTTTACAGCACTAAAATACGTTGTTATAGGCAACCCACAATATGGCTGAAATACAAAAAGTGCAAAGAAATGAAATAAAGTTAAACGGTCATACTCTTCTGCTTCACTTGGAATAATGAAGACAGACATATGCATTACAGATACCATACTCTTATATTCCAACTGTCAAGGGTTCTTTTATGTGCATGCCAATGTCTACACGTGACCTTGGTTTTCCATCCCATCCAATTGACTAGACATAAATTATCTAACAGGAGCTAAATGTCAGAACAAAGTATTGAATTGGCTTGATCCAATCAAATCAACATATAAAATCTAATGAAATCAACAATTTTATTGTTGCCTTATAATTCAGAATTACCCATAATGAAATAATATGAACAATATGGTAATTAATCGAAGCAATTGTTACTCTTTGCTGATTCCCTGAAAAAATATAGTAGTGATTTCTTGTTTTTATTAGTGCACATGATAAGTTGATAACACTGTTATTCAATTCAAACCACACCTTTGTCTTGATGATCGATTTAAAATCAGTCGGGTAATGATTCTTGGTCTCTGACCATCCCTACTTTTCCAAGAGGCAGATACCTAGAGATTTTAACTGAATAGAATAAATCCATAGTATACAATATATATTTTATATCTATAGTTAAAGATACAAACCCGTAGATAATCTTTATCTTTCTGTGGAGTTTTATCAATTAATTCCTCGACTGTAGAAGAAGTTCTTAAATCTAACCATACTACAAAAAATTAAGTTCTTTTTAATAAAATCAAAAAGCTCTATAAAAAGATTCATTTACTTGTTTTTTTTCTTCTTCTTATAAATCTAAAAAGTCAAAAGAATCTGATTCCTGCAAATATTCTCACAGACATCAAACTTGCTTCCAAAATTTTTTATACAATTTCACTTATTATTAGTCAGGTTACTAGTCTTAATCATTCAGTATTATAATACTAGTAATAGTAGTCTTGTATGTCATCAATGAATATTGCTAATAAAGTTATTTGCTTTAGAGTGTTCAGTCATACCAATATGGTCATTGGCATTCCATAATTCATCAACTTTGGCTTTGCTTCTATTTTATTATTACATTGAATGTTATCTATCAAATCATGAGATACATCATTATTATTCGATACATTATTTGATTAAAAATCTTTACTGTGGGGGGTTGGATGGCCGAATGGTTAGCATGTGCGTGCTGTATCATAAGGTCTGTCATTGAGTCAACTGGCGTGGTTTCGAATCCCCGGTTGTACATGACAAGGAGTAGGGTCGCCTGTCCAACCTCGTGGGTTTTCACCGGGTCCTCCGGTTTCCTCCCACTGCTAACGACCCCTACGCGCAAACGAATTATTGAAATAAAATTAAACCATATGTTAGTCCTGAAATGACCTAGTTTGTGTCAAGTGGACGTTAAACCCCACTTCTCTCTCTCTCTATTTACTGTAATTTACCTTTGACGCTCAGATAGATAACAAATCACTTAAACTTAATGTCTGTTTCTCTTGGATATACTGTATTAACGTCTTATATTTGAAAACAAGATAAACTTACATTAAAGGCTGATGTCCCCCGCCGAAATCCCAAAATAAATAGATGACACATATTAATTAATCGCACATTTATTTTTTTCAAAAGTATCGAGCAATCAAACTACACACTAAGTTTCATCACTCTCTATCAGATAGAATCAGGATTATCTTGTCCCAAAGCATCGACCAATGAAATTGATTGGCTCTGTTTAGCTTTAGCTTGAAATGTTAATCATTGAAATCAGTCAAGACATTCACCTAATGAACATCTACATCAGGTTTAAACATTCTACCTCAATTAAAAGCAGAGTTTTTATGTTCCAAAGTCTTGACTAATCAAAATTCGCACAATCGAACTTAGTCAAGGTAATGATATAATGAATCTATATTCAGAGTTTCATCGCTCTAACTTCATTATAACCAAAGTTACCGTGCCCCTAAACAGATTGCTTATCTCTGCCTACCGTAAGCAGACAATGTTCATCATCGAACTCCATCAAAGGATTCACCTAATGAATGCCTACACCAAGTTTGAACATTTTACCTCAATTAGAAGGAGAGTTACTGTGTTCCAAAGTCTCGACCAATCAAATTGCTTATCGCTCTGCTTACCCTCAGCAGAAAATGTTCATTATCGAACTTAGTCAAGGTATTGATGTAATAAAGCTATACACCAAGTGTCCTCACTCTCACTTAATTAGAACTAAAGTTATCGTGTCCCAAAGCATCAACCAATCAAATTGCTTATCTCTGCTTACCCTAAGCAGAAAATGCTCATCTTTGAACTCCATCATCAAGGTATTGACCCAATAAACACCTACACCAAGTTTGAACATTCTAGCTCAATTAGAAGGAGAGTTATTGTGTTCCAAAATCTTGGCCAATTAAATTTCTTATCGCTCTGCTTACCCGGAGCAGAAAATGCTTGTTATCGAACTTAGTCAAGGTATTGATGTAATGAAACTATACACCAAGTTTCATCACTCTCACTTAATTAGAACTAAAGTTATCGTGTCCCAAAGCATCAACCAATCAAATTGCTTATCTCCGCTTACCCTAAGCGGAAAATGCTCATCTTCGAACTCCATCAAGGTATTGACCTAATAAACCCATACACCAGATTGAACATTCTAGCTCAATTAGAAAGAGAGTTATTGTGTCCCAAAACGTGTGACGGACAGACAGACGTACGAACCCATTTTAATAGTCCCCTGCTTTCTTTGAAAGGCGGGGGACAACAAAATTAAACTAAATTGAAAACAACTTGGCCTTCAAAGGATTCTTGATGATTGGTTTCAGTTTAAATGACTGAATTATAAAAATTTGAAGGATGAAATTCTACCTATAGCATTATGTAATGGTAAACCAGTTTCTTTATCCCATACAACAGTTGTCTCTCTTTGATTGGTGATTCCAATACCTAAAAACAAAATAATGAATCTGTTATTATAAACTCTACTCCACTTCTTAAAACACAATACTTTTCTTTTTTTAAAGGGGCATTGCCGCATTATGGAAGATTAGATAAAAATCTGACAGTTCTTATTATAATAGATAAAAACTAGAGAATGTAAATGGAATATTCTGAAAATTTCAGTCCAACTGCTCCACTCTGAACCGAGATATCAGCAATTGAATTTTAGGCCTAGCCTTGATAATCATTACTAAAGTTAGTAGTATAAAAAACATGAGCTTTGAGCAGCTGATCAGATTCAAATCCATTGAAAATCTGACATAAGATGGCATCGAGAGTTGATTAAGGTCTTTTCATGTTAATAAATGTCTAATCAATAGTTTATATAACATTTCAGGCAATAGGTAGATTTATCTCTTGCATAATGCATGTTTAAAGGTTCATAATATATGATGAATCTTCAAATGTCATAATCTTTTAGCGACATTCAGTAACTAGATAGAGTAATAAACTACATGTATATACATGTATAGCACATATTTATGGAGAAAAAAAAACCTACCAATAAATATGGGTGATGTTTTAAAGAGTATAGCTTGATTATAAATATGCGTGTCATGGTTTATTCAAAAGTTATGATAAATCAAGATTATGATAAACTATTATTATTTATCATAAATCATTTAGAAATAATTTATAAATCATACGTCAAGCTGACAGATTAAATGATAATAAATCAAGAACTCTAGCCATTAAATTAGTTTTAATATTACCTAATATTAAAACAGTTTCAACAATATATATTGTGAAATATAACACTATTTCAATTTTAATTATGAAATTAACTGTTGTCAGTCACTATAAATAAACAAAACCATATGCTTGTGCTATAAAAGCTACTTTCGTACTCTGTAAACATGTGGTTGTGTCAATAGTCAATACACAATAAAAAAAAATGTTGTGCAATTTGGAAACTATTTTAATTTCAGATAATTAAATAAAATAGAAGTAAATTTAAGGGAAAAAAGTTACAGAAATTGTTGTGTGATGCTAGATTTGTCACTTGATAAGGTCAATGTGTAAGCTTATATTTCAGATATAACTATAGATCTGTTTAATTAGCAACATTAACAAATATCACCTATTGATTTTCTAACACTGACGTGTCTTAGTTATCAGTGTTATTTCTCCACTGATCAGGTGACATATTTATCGACTAGACAATCACCATCTGGTTATATATTAACATAAAATGAATGCATTTTCAATTCTTTTCTGAGGTAGACCAGGGTTCATGCCATGTCCAGATTTATTCCTTTCAAACTTTCCTAAAATGGGTCGTACAAGGCCTGTAAATAATGATTATAGATGTACCTGATATTTTTACCTTTGTGCCAGACAAATATTAATAATATGTACAACTAGCGGTTGACCTGGCATAGCACAAGTATAGTCATGATGAGGAAGTAGCATAACTCTGAAATCGGAAGTGGTAGTCCATCACCACCAGGTTATGTTACTCCTCTGTCTGAGCTATCCCTATACAACAAATTTCAGCCTCAAGACAGCCCTAGTGTAGCCGCCAACCCTGAACAGATAGACAGACAAACAAACGACAGTCACAAATATTAGTATAGATATTAAAATCTGTATACTTATTATGTTACGTAATTATTTAGCGAGAGAAGAAGTTTGTATGGCTGCATTTCTTTTAGTCTGACTCTCTAGATTGTTGAGAAATGAAGGGATGTGGACCTATATACTGTTTGTTTATTTTGTACAGATAATTTATAGTTTATATTGACAGCACAGAATAATGTGAGTGAGGTGGGTGGAGGACTGGAGGTAGTAGAGGAAGAAAGAGATACAGTAGTACAGTAGACTTACATTTTATATCGTTTGGGCTCCTACCCAACGCTCTTAAGTTCTCTGTTGCTTTTACTATACATGTTTTCACTGATTGTAAAATTTCTATAGGATCCTCTTCAACCCACCTGAAAATACAAATAGTAATCTTTAAAATTTATTTAGTTATGTAAGACCACAGCTAACAAATTAATTTGAACAAATCTCTAACCAATCTTTTGTTGTATATCAATAGGCTTCATCATATAAATAGATCAGTGGATGTGAACTGTGAAGTGTTCACATTACTGACAGGTCTGTCATTTCATTGGTTATCTACAGTACACAAGTAAAAACACTACACAATGAAAAAATTGTTTGATAATGATATGGTAAGTAAATAAGATTTTAGCAAAATAACAAATGCAGAAGACAAAATGATAAATACATTGCATCATAAGTGGTTGACATACAAGATACACCCACATTTTGCAAGAGATGGACAGAGAGCAAGCTATTTTTCTGTACAATGAGGAGCCATACTCCGGGATGTATTGGTCTGACATGCTTCAAATGCAAACGGAACTTTGGGATACAATTATATCTTAAGTTTGTTTAAAATCACATAAAAATTGTGACCTTTAGAGTATCTACAAACAAAATGTGAACAGATAGACAGAGGCAGCATCCAAAATTGTGACCTCTAGAGTGTCCACAAGCTAAAAACATGACTTTTTGTACAATCAGGGGCCATAATACATGAAGTTATGGTCCGATACATGCCAATATTAAAAAAAATCCAAATCTTTGGGATATAATAAACCTATATTTCAAGTTTCATCAAAATCGGATAAAAATTGGGACTTGTAGGGTGTCCACAAACAAAATGTGAATGGACAGACTGGGTTAAAGACAATATCGTATGACCACATGAAAATATGAGCCAATAAAAACCAATACTTTTAATCAGATTATACTCTTACCCATCTTTAGGATAATACTGCTTAATCTCTGTTTGATGATATGTAACTAACTCAGCTGTTTGACTTGAAAAAATCTGAAATAAAAAATTTTAATTTTTTTTTTAAAATTTAGTGACATTTTCCAATATTCTAATTCTACATGCAACATGTTCTGGATAAAATCTGTCAAAATTCCACAGATCCATGGCAGATGATTGTCTGATCAGTCATTGAGAAATGTACAAATAAAGACATTACATAAAGAAACAAGAGCATCGCTAACGCTGCAATATACGTCCACATTCCTGCTTCGATTGATATGGTACTTTTTTAAATGAAGAGAATGAAATATGAATATGACAAATTGGGCGTGGCTCTGCCCCTCGGGTTGGACATGGACCAATAGATACAACCATATGCTGGATAATTTCAAATTGGATCCAAAACTGTTAATAATTGCAACCTGTATATCATTTACAGACAAAATATCAACAAAAAGTGGGTGTGGCACCACCGAAAGGGAAGTGGGTGGGGGCGCAGGAGGGGTGGGGTGGAGCTGGGGGTTGTGCATCAACATCAATAGTTGCCGTCCTTAGAGTATAAGGAATAAGTATACCAAGATAATCCATTCAGAATTGTGACTTTCAGGTGCTAATGGCAAAAAGTGAGTGTGGCCTGTAGACGACAAACAAACAAATACAAGAAATGGGCCTGGCTCTTCCCCTTGGGGTCGGCCGTGCACCAAAAACAATAGAGATCATCATTAGGGTATAAGGAATAAGTATGTAAAGTTTCAAGATGATCACTTAAGAATTGTGGCCTGTAGGCGACACACAGACACACAAAAAGAAAATGGGAGTAGCTCTGACCCTGGGTGTTGGGCATGCACCCCAAACAATAGGATGTTCCTTAGGGTACAAAAGAATAAATATGCAAAGTTTCAAGATGATATGTTCAGAAATGCGTCCTGTAGATGAAAAACAAACAAATACAAGAAATGAGCGTGGCTCTGCCCCTGCCCCTTATGAATGTGGACCTATAAAAATGATTTTTAAATATAAATGAACCCTGACCTATTTCTAACAAAGATTGGCTAATGAAGATTGATGTAGGAGATATAGTGTGCTATGAGAGTATTTTCCAGATCCCCCAATCCTGCACCAGTGACATGGGGAAACCAGGCTGGAAGATCCTGGGGAACTTTCCTGACTAACACCAGGAATAAAACCCCAGGCCTCTTGGTTAGTAAACCAGCACCTTACCCACTGAGCCACCATGGTTCTGACTAAAACTAGAAGTAATTAACAGAAATTGATGAAATTCAATAGGTTTATTCATTTTACTATCTAAATAAAGAATATCAATATCATACAGATTGAATGATAACTGTTGTCAACAGTGAAATATATAATGCATAAAAATTTCATGCATATCAGATGATAACTTTTGTTGATTGAGTGTTCACAAGATTCAACAAAGTGAAACAAGGGCCATAACTCTACAAGTAATTAATGGTAATTGTTGAAATTCATTAGTCTTCTTTGATTTAGTGATCTAAATAATGCATATAAATTTCAAACAGATCAGATGACAAATGTACCCTGTAGAGTAGTCACAAGAAATTGTGGACGATGGACCAACGGAAATATACGACTACATTTCTTGTAGGCGTATAAAAAGGGCATAAACTATGATAAAAGCAACAAATGCTAAAGACCTTTACTCTTTTTTTGAAAATCACAAATTATACTGTTACTTTTTTTTCCCTAACACTATGAAATAAATTTACCACAGGCACTTGAAGGGATTAAAATAAAACTGTGAAATTTACATAGTAAACCTTATGAGGATACAATATGTAATTATGGAATGTGAAAACAAGCCAAAGCTTATATAAATCCATCTCCTGTCAGAAATCATTTATAAAAATATAAAACATTGTTTAAAATTATAATGCTAAATTATGACATGTTTAAATTACCAGGAATAAAGTATAACCCCAATGTTGTAATTATTAACAATTATGGAATTCATGATATGATTTAGATAACTAAAAATGAGTTAATATACAGAAGGTTAGAGATACAATTATCTGATGATATTTGTAGTGGTTGATCGAGCTGAATGTACTCAATTTCCCTGCTGAATGCACTGAATTTCCTCAAATTACACTTGATGATTGAATTTGACATAAAATGGACCTTTAAACTTTACCTGTGGTGTGATTCTTTACATAAATAGGCTAAGCCCTACCTTCCGACTTAAAGTCTAATCAACTGTTTAAATTCCAAAGTGCATAAGCCTTCCTCACCTCTCTCCATCTTTTTACCTAGGTCATTAATACCATCATAACGTAAGAGGTTTAAAGTCCACTTGACTATGTTATTTTGGTACTTCATAATAGTCAATATTATGGTCATTAATAATTTAAACAAGCCAACAGTGAGGCTGATGTCTCCCGCCGAAATCCCAAAATAAATAGATGACACATATTAATTAATCGCACATATTTTTTTCAAGAGTATCGAGCAATCAAACTACACACTAAGTTTTATCACTCTCTATCAGATAGAATCAAGATTATCTTGTCCCAAAGCATCGACCAATGAAATTGATTAGCTCTGCTTAGCTTTAGCTTGAAATGTTAATTATTGAAATCAGTCAAGACATTCACCTAATAAACATCTACATCAGGTTTAAACATTCTACCTCAATTAAAAGCAGAGTTTTTAATGATATAATGAATCTATATTCCGAGTTTCATCGATCTCACTTCATTATAACCAAAGTTACCGTGCCCCTAAAGCATCAATCAATCAGATTACTTATCTCTGCTTACCGTAAGCAGACAATGTTCATCATCGAACTACATCAAGGGATTCGCCTAATGAATGCCTACACCAAGTTTGAACATTCTACCCCAATTAGAAGGAGAGTTATTGTGTTCCAAAGCCTCGACCAATCAAACTGCTTATTGCTCTGCTTACCCTCAGCATAAAATGTTCATTATCGAACTTAGTCACGGTATTGATGTAATAAAGCTATACACCAAATGTCCTCACTCTCACTTAATTAGAACTAAAGCTATCGTGTCCCAAAGCATCAACCAATCAAATTGCTTATCTCTGCTTACCCTAAGCGGAAAATGCTCATCTTCGAACTCCATCAAGGTATTGACCTAATAAACACCTACACCAAGTTTGATCATTCTAGCTCAATTAGAAAGAGAGTTATTGTGTTCCAAGAAGTGTGACGGACAGACGGACGAACCCATTTTAATAGTCCCCTGCTTTCTTCGAAAGGCGGGGGACAATAAAAAATGTATGGGTTCTGTTTTTATTTTTGGGTCATCCTGTAGATAAAAAGATAATATTCCACAATAAACAACAGGTGCAAGACTCTAGAATATACATAATCATCAACACCTGTTTTGGTAACGGTATAATTTAGGACATTAGGCATGATTGACATAAATTGATTGCAGTTTTAACAAGGCATTGACCTAATCAACACATACACCAAGTTTGAACATTCTAGCCCAATTAGGAAGAGAGTTATCGTGTCCCAAAGCATCAACCAATCAAATTGCTTATCTCTGCTTACCCTAAGCGGAAAATGCTCATCTTCGAACTCCATCAAGGCATTGACCTAATAAACACATACACCAAGTTTGAACATTCTAGCTCAATTAGGAAGAGAGTTATTGTGTCCCAAAAAGTGTGACGGACAGACAGACGGACAGACAGACAGACGGACGAACCCATTTTAATAGTCCCCTGCTTTCTTCGAAAGGCGGGGGACAATAAAACACTTCAGGACTTTGTTAAACAGGACACTTGCAGGATTAAAACCTCATTCCCATTGGTAACTTCTGCCTAATCTTAGAATTATTTCAACACCACTAGCATGTGGAAATTTGACACATTTTACGGTCTCGTCAACACAATACTTTGGCCGTTTTGCGACTAAGTATATACATCGTTCATGTTCTTGTCAACATCCAATACTTTATTCATTGTGTGACTAACATACTAGCGTTCTTTTACTATGGTTAATAAGGGAAGGGAAGGGAATTTTGATCGGTATGCAGTATCTTCACCTACTGTTCAAAGAAATTCAAGGTGTCAAGAGTTCTTTCACGTGCACGTAAATGTGTATACATGTGAAGCTTGAGTTTTTCATCCCATCTGAAAGACTAGGAAACAATTTCCTTGTCAGCCCAGCGGAACCTATTCCTGACAAACAGGTACCAGACTTGACATGCAAAACCCAAGACATGGGAGTCTCGATTCCTGTGTAATACCCATTTTACTACCCTGCCTTTCTTTTTATATCTACCAATAGGAATGTGTTGATTTGATTATAGCATGTAAATAATCTTGTGAATTATTTGTATTCCATTATTTCAATAATTCATTATTCATTCAATTAAACATTTCTTTTATTCTTATGTTTCTATTATTCCTTCATGGTTAATTAGATGTCTTCATGATTATCTAATGACATATGGTTGACAGTTGACACATAATTACTATCTTATTGTTTTATTTTATTGTAATGTCTTTTATATTTTAATCTTGCCTCTTTAATTGATATTAGTAAGGTCACTGTATATTGTGAATTCCTACAATACCGATTTGTACATTCATAAAGCACTCTGGATTACTCTGCATGTTGGATGTGCTGTTCTCCGTATAGGATGTTTAATGCTTTTCAGTAATAAATAGTTTCAAGGATAGTTCCAGTCCTTAGTTATTAACAAAGATTCTCACTGCTACATAAGTACCTACGAGAGTACAAAGTTAACTGTACCGTAAGCTTATTATGATAGTTTACAAAATATTATTAGGAAGAAGTAATTCTTATAACACCTGTATGTACACGTCAACAAGGCAACAAGCCTCTTGATGTATGACAGATTAACAGTAAGCAAACACTGAATATACAACTTATACCACTAACCCTTCACTAAAATATATTTACATATGAAATTATAGTAGACTTGAATTGATATAATTCATGAATTTTTAATGACTGTAATATATAATAGATACCTAGTTTACGTGGTGAGAATAAGATCATAGATAAATGTATATCATGCTTAAGTTTCTCAGTGGTGGGGTAGTCGTAAATTGATATTCTAATGCCTACTGTGTATTTGTGTCCAAGACCTACATGACATATCATAAATAAAGTGAATATGTCAAGACAATGAACAAAAGTTGGGTTTTTTTTAAATTATACAAATATACCACAGCACATGTAGTTAGTATTGTGTATGTTTATTCACACAAAATATTTATACGAAGGCTTTATCATTTTTGTTCTATGATGAAAATATCAGGTCGAAAGAGCAATGGTTAAAAAAAACGGCCAATGCATTGAATTTTTTAATCTACATGTATGTTAAAATGTTGCTAGTGACCTACTTACATGCGGCAATGTAAAAAAACTAACTGTCTAATTTCAAAATCAAGTTAACTTAAAATTCCCCTTTGTACATGTCCATAATCAGTCTGATATTATCATTCAGCATTAGTTATCAAAGCTCATAAAACTACAATATTTATCACCCCTGACCTTACAGACCAAAAGGCTAAATTAATGGACATATATCTGATTGGGACACAGAAAAACACATGTCTAATCTCCCATTGACAAGCTATCTTACAACTTGTTTACTATCTTGCTAGTGAAGTAATCTAAATCATTGATTGTTTACATTTTTTTTCAGGAAAACATAGATTGCCAGGCCACAAAACACATGCCCACCAGTAGCTAATTAGTCATCTAAGAAGTTATGAGCTAAACAATTCAAAATATTTTCAAAAATCAGACCATAATCTAAAGCGCTTAAGAGTGGTATCAAGATTCCATGAAAGATGGGAATAACTCTGGCAGTTATTAATATTGAAACTTGTTGAAAATCAATTGTGCTCTTCGGACTCATTTCAAGAGGACGGATAGACAACAAACATAAATTTAGGAAGAAAGGTCAATAAAGGCAGCCAATAAATTTTTAACAAGATTTCATAATAAAGTGGCATAACTCTGGAGGTGATTATTGAAAACATTGAAAATCAATTCAGTAGGCTTCTTTGTTTCAGTGAGATAGACAATTCAATTTGAAAAAGGTAAATTGACTATTGTAGCCCCTAGTCTACTATTAAAAGATTTTAAATACTGTATTTATTTATCCATCAATTAGACCGACTTCGTGTTATCAATTATTTCAATTTCTAGAAGGGCTTTTTAAATACATGTATCACTGGTGATTTATCAAAACTTTTGAAATTAAATTACCAGTAGGCATCTTCATTTCTATGAGATAAACCCCCCATACATTTATGTAGATTAGTGTACCGGGTAGCCTCAATTGTGCAAACAAGAAATGTGAACGACAGGTTGACAATAAGACAGGGAAAGAGAAATGGGGTTTAATGTCCACTCAACACAAACCAAGTTATTTTGAGAATAATATGTCTTCAATTTTATTTCAATAATTTGCCTGCAGTGGAAGGAATGTCAATGACAGTCCTTATGATCTAAAGTACATGTGTTAGACCATTAGGCCACCCAACACCCCACGAATCAACAGGCGTCACAGCAATTTTTAATCACATTAACATGTGGGCATATAAAAGAAAGTACACAACATTATCAAGCAGGCAATAAATTTTACAAAATATGTACGGAGAAAACTTATTTGTATTGAAATGCTTGCACAATGTAAGTCTTCTTATCAGGTTATTTGTTACTAAATCTCAATAATTCCCTAAGCTTGATACTTCTTTATTATGTACATTAAAGGCGATAAATCTCTTTGATCAAGGGATTGATCAATATAATGTTTGGGGTTTTTTTCAATTTGTGAAGGATCAAGCCCTATACAGTTAAATTTTTGTTTCAAAAGATTGAGTGGAGGCTGGTTTGTTTACATTTTTTTTAGTTTCGTTGTCCGGCCTAATGTGTAAATGAAATGGGTTTAATGTCCTGCTGTTCTGCTCGAACTGGGCTAATGAAGACAGGCATACACCATACATTGTGCTATGAGGGATCTTTTACGTGAACACCAATGTGTATAAGGGACCTAGGTTTTCTGTCCCATCTGAACAACTAGACAGCTAGTCAAGGGGAAACCAAGCTCGAAAATCCAAATAAACTATCTTGGCCAACACCGGTAGCCTAATGTGTATAGTGGAACATAAAACTGATTATCAATACTGTCAATGATGACAAATTGCTTTCCACAAAACAAACCGACAAACATTCATAGAAAATGACAATATATTTTTGATTCAAATCTAGACATTTTAATATTACAAGTAATATTTGATGTGACTGAAATTTATAGAATAAGACCTAAAGTCTGGTGTTGTTATTTTTATATTTTCTTTTACACTTTAAATGGACAATGGACAGACTACAACCTTATTCCCTTTCTGAATACCACATACCAGTACCCCCCCATGCACACATGTATGATGTATAATAATGATATGTACATGTATATAATATTCAAGGTCCCTGTCGGGAATATATGGGTAATAATGTACAGAGAAAAATTATAATAATAAAAATGAAATTTAATAGTTAGTTTGTCCTTTAAGTCACCTCCATTAAATCTACATTTTGATCATTAATAACATCCTACTTATGACTACAATAGTACCAGCATTACTAAATTACTAACTAATCTCTATAAAATATGAGTAGCAAGCTATTTAACCCCATGTTGAACCCTAAGGCCTAAATACATCAGTACAGTACATGTATATTCGTTTAGTCTCAATTATACATGTTTTCATTCATTTGTCTACATTGCTCAATTGCCTCAGGACTCCTGTTGCATCACCACAAAGATATTGACCTAACTTTCACCTAAAGCACAGCCCCAAGGCACAAAATTAACTATTGAGTTACATGTTGATGGCTAAGTTATTTTATGTAGGAATAAACACTTACTAAAAACGTAAAAACTGTTTATTATTGGTAAGCAGATTATTGTGTATACAGTTGTAATCTTAAAAGAAAAGGAAAGTGTTTATTTGAATACTAAACTAATTCTTACTAACTAGTAACTATGCTCTCCCTTGTCATATCACAATAAGCATCAAATCAACCCAATTTCAAATTTTGCCCTGTCAAGACTCAAGAGAATCTTTTGCTTAAAACTATTAGTAATGCAATTACCAAAATGTATCTATCTCAAAGATAAATTTACGGTACAGAAACTCTTATTCACAACATGTGAAATAAGCTTACAGTTAATGCTAGTGTTGGATTCAAAAATCTTTCCAAAATATTAGTACAAGTAGGCTATATCAACAAAACTTTGATAATAAATAATGCCATTCTAAGCTTTATTACCAAGAAAAGTTACATAGTGCTGTAAGGCATATTATAGCCAAACAGGTACCCTAGAATATAACTTAATTTTAATAAGTTATAATAACTAGCCATTTGACAATTGAATAAGCTACAAGAACCACATTATCAAATCTAGCCCATGGTCCACATAAAAAGTCAATACATTACGAGCATGATTATTAGCAGTTAGTAACCCTAACCTGTTCAATTATAGAATGCAGAAGAATAGTATAGAATACTCATATAGGCCTACTAGTAGGCTACTGTCTAATATCAATAAACACAATAATAATAGAATTTCTTTAATAATAGTAATAATAGCTGTATGAAGAAAAAAAAACCAGATCTCACAGCTATTGATTTGTATTTTGAACAATTTTAAAGCAGCCGCTTTAAAGTAGCTAAGTCCATAACTCAATATCAATCATCCAAAATCTTCGACATTGAAAACACGAATTTTTTTTTCAATTTAAATCAGGGGTCTTCTGATATCCAATATTTAAGACAAAATAAACATTTTACCATTGGTACACGAATCGTGTACCATAATGCATTTTAGCGCCATTTGTAACAAGGTGCTCAAAGAATGAGGCTAGACATTTTCCACAAGTCATGTCAAGTGGTCATGCCATATTCTTATTTGGAGAGCATGCGCAATATTTACTATCGGTGTTGACTGGAATAACCAGACGCTAGAAACTGTCTTTCGGCTGAGACTTCTGGCGTATTTCAGCGAACATAACTGATGACAATTCACAGTAAAACGGAAACAATTAATTGTAAAACAGCTTATATAAATTCATATTACATTATTATATGTGTTGCGACCCATTTGTGCCAATTTCTAGGCCCAAAATATTAGCGATTTAGCTCCTTTAACTAACCAATAAATCTAATAGGCTATATTTTTATATCTTCATATCAGTTAATAGGCCTACTGGTGTCATGTTAACATGTTATGAATGACATGTCACCGTCATCAACAAAAGTGTGCTAAATGATAAGAAAGAATCGTCTGCTTCTGAAATCCGATTTTATTCGTCAATATTTACAAAGACATGTAATTCGTGCAAACGTCAAATATTTATCACATGTAGATGGTGTATTTCTTAAAGAAATAAAATGAGAAAATAGTAGTTTTTCTCACCAAAAAACGGGTACTGCTTGTTCCTTGATCAACTGCTCCGACAAGCGGCTTCTCAAACTTCGCCATTCTCAAACCGGAAGTAGTGTGAATGAATTAAGAATTGCGCCCCTTGTTCTACTACCGCTGTTCTCGATCAAGGATACTAACTTAAAGGGACAAGCCTATATCCTTCGTCAATTTTGATTTTTTAATGATTTTCACATAAAGTAAATTCACGATCTAACGGTGCCCATTTGTCCACTGCGAGTGTAGTTCTAATATCCAACTTTATGTCATTCTTACAGCGACAATTAAGAGCTTGTTTTAAGTCTATGACATGAAAAGGCTGTGTCCCTTCCAACTTTCGCCTTCGGGCAATCAGATTTTTCGAGCAGACGGGTAAAGTTGGGAAAAAATACTATTTTGGAGTAGATATAAATAACATATTTTGCATTCTAGTCGGTAAAATCAAATGTATTGGACGGACTATATGAATACATGAATCGATTTTTTAAAAAAAAAAATTTGGGGGGGGGGGGGGGCACATCTGTTTTGTGGGACATTTTTTCGGGCATCGGAAATCAGTTTTTCGGAAATCGTAATTTCTTTAAAGGGCATAGGCCTATGGCTCTATTATTTGGAACATTAAAATATACGAAATGGGTCTAAAGCACATATTGTGGAATATGAATGTATACAAAGTGACCTCTAGAGAATCCGCAAGCTAAAAATGCGATTTTTCGAACAATCAGGAGCCATAATCCAGGAAGTTACGCGATTATCAAAAGGAACCAAGATCATAATGTGTAATGGTGATATATTCACATGTTTTTGAGGTTTTTCTTTTTAAATCGGATAAAAATTGGGACCTCTCTACATGGACGGCAAGCTAAAAACGTGATTTTATGTACATTCAAGGGTCATAATTCAGGAAGTTACGGTCCGATACGCGCGAATATCGACAGGAACCAAGATCTTTGGGCTATAAACATGTATTTTAACTCTCATCAAAATCGGATCAAAATTGTGACCTCTAGGGGTCCACAACTTTGAAATACCAGAAGTTTACACCAATTGTGTACGAGGGGCGGCCATTTTGTCCGGCAGTTTTGGTCCGATTTTCACGAAATTCGAACCCAGCCAAAGTTACGGCGTAACGGTGATATATTTGAACGTTTTTTTTTTTTAAATCGGATAATAATTGTGACCTCAAGCTAAAAAACCGATTTTTCGTACAATCAGGGGCCATAATACAGGAAGTTACTATCCGATATACGCGAATATCGACAGGAACCAAGATCTTTGACTTATAAACTTACATTTCAAGTTTCATCAAAATCAGAAGAAAATTGTGACTTCTAGAGGGTCCACAACATTGATATACCATATTTTTACGCTATTTGAGTACGAGGGCGGCCATTTCGTATGTCAGTTTTGGTCCGATTTTTACGAAATTCGAACTCAACCAGCCTTAGGGTGTAACGGTGATATATTCAAACGGATTTTAAATCGAATAAAAATTGTGACCTCAATAGGGCCCACAAGCTAAAAACGCGATTTTTCGTACAATCAGGGGCCAAAATTCAGGAAGTTACTATCCGGTATGCGCGAATATCGAAAGGAATCGAGATCTTAGGGAGATAAACCTATATTTCAAGTTTAGTTGAAATCGGATAAAAATTGTGACCTGTAGAGTGTCCACAAACAATTGTGGACGGACGGACAGGGGCGACGACAATATACGTCCACATGAAAATGTGGGCGTGTAAAAAGACCCTTTTTAAATTTAATACCAGAAGTAAACAATGCTAATTATAGCCACGTAATCACCATGGGAGACTTTATTATTCGTTATATAAATCAATGATCGAACTGAAATGAAATGAAATCAGGTTTAATGTCTTGCTTTTCTGAACTGACTGAGATGGGCTTCTTATAAAGACAGTCATATTCCATGCAGTGTGCTATGAACTCAATGCTTCTCACTGAACCCAGTTGTTATGTGAAAATGATGTGAAAATTCTACAAGAAGATATGCCGGTCAACTAACTGATTAATGACAAATGTAAAGTATAGCTGCAGAAAAAAATTGAGACAACTCATGGCAACCAACTCAGCTTTGGCAATCACATACATGAGTCAATCTATTTTCTTCCGGTATGAAACTCGTACAACCTTAAACCCACCACAGTGTTAGTATGGGCAAAGAAGAGCTACCAAGTTTACTCAAGGATTAAAGTTTGAACACGCTACCTCAATTAGAGTTTGTGCGTTCCAGAGGGTGTGACGGACAAACAACGTGACAGCCAGAGCAGTTTTAGAGGAATTTGAAGCACTAGGGCGCGAGAAAATTTTGCATTTCGGCAAACGTAATTTGAATTTAGGGATGTGTTTTGTGTTATAAATGTGGTGTTTACCGAAAAATGCTGCTTTCCATCTCTCTAATAGTATCATGATTTTCACTTGACACCTTTAGTATTGTCCCACTGCTTCTTTATTTTTTTACAAAATAGTGGAACAACTATTTCAGCAATGGAACATTTGACCCACTAATCGCTGTACTACAAAATGCTCTGGTGACAGATGCTTAGACACTCACCCAATTGACATCTATACAAATTTAAAATTCTAGCTCAAATATAGGGCAGAGTTATTGTGTCCGTAGTCTCAACCAATGAAATTGCTTATCCTGCTTAGTCTAAGCAGAGAAAGCTCATCACCGAACTTCTTCAAGATATTCACCTAATAATCAACTACACTACTTTTGAACAGTCTAGCTCAGAAAGAAGCAGAGAGTTATTTTCCAAAAAGCGTGACGGACAAACAGTTGGACGAACTGATATTAAAAAGCCCCCCCCCCCCCCCCTGCTTTCTTAGAGATAAGTAATCGATGACACAATTATGTCCACAATACCAGGATATAGGCCCTATATACATCTTAAACCAATGGTAATAGAAAAATATATTTTTTGGAAAAGTCAAATAAAATTATTAAGCAAAAATTCTTCACAAACATAATGACACTATATAGAACAGTCTCTCTAAAAACGGGGGAATAATTAGCAGCCATGCGCCTTCCTAGATTACTGCCGCTGTAGGCTCATAACATATCATAAGGAATTCTTGTTGAATGTTAAGAAAACAGAACGAATGATAACACCCCGATGCTGGTGGTACACTGTAAAATAACAAAACATGGTTAACGGATAATGCAAACTTTGTCTTGCTTAATACGCGAAATTCTTATACAGCAGGGTAGTTTGCCCCCAGTCGATAGACAATGCTAATTTGCGCATGATGGCGTATTGCTTTTAATATATCATTCGAATAATTATCTGGACTACGGAACTGAAATAAATAATTCTTGGGCAGTAGCTGTCCATAATAGCTAGTTACGCACGTGTCCTATTTGAATGAAGGAATCAAAGAGCTTACAGTTTGAAAGCTTATATTTCCTTATAGTTCCTTTAAGAACTGTCTCTGATCGGACGATGTCCGCTGACAGTTTCATATTTCTATATAGCTGCAATATGAAAATACCGCTCATCTCCACCTCTGGTTTAAAGGACAGTATTGGTGTCAGTCATTATCACATATGTGATAGAGCTTGTTAAACACATTCCAAATATAATTTTAACACAGAGATCATTGCTACGATAGCTGAGTAATGCAGGTTAACTGAATCGGAAGTGACAAACACCAAAGGAAAACACGAGTCATCTCTCTATATAACTGACTGATGTGACGAGTGATAACAGATACACGGCCGAATTTCTGCTCACTAATAATTCCTTCGAATTATTAACACAGTCTAGAGTGACCGCCCCCCCCCCCCCAACTCATACTGCCAGCTGTTACTGGCTTGATAAAAAGTAGAACTTTACAGTGTAGTAGTAAACAATGGTATAGTTTATTTGGTATTATACGTTATCTACAAGTGTACTGGTTGTATGTATAAATAAATAAATAAACATTCTTATTGACCATTTGCATATTATTGGCGGCTAGCCACTGAAGAGACGGGCTAGGTATGATTTATAAGTCAATTGTTTAAAACATGTAAAGGAGAACTTTCCACGACTGGCATGATAGCAATGGTTGATAGAGTGGAGTGGGTGTTTCCTTAGAATATTATAATCTAGCATCGCTACCTTGTCATTGCTTTCTTGTGTATACATACCATCACTGTGCATCACGGCGAAATTTCATACTACACAAGTACGAGAGTACTATATTATGGACCAGGAAGTGAGCATAATGTCATCGCCGCCACCGTGACGTCATATCACGAATTGATGCACAATTGTCCAAGGAACAAACGTGTCAAGTTTTATGCCGATCGAACTGGTGGAGCCTAGACTCTTTTCGAAGAGCGTCGACCCAAGAACAACAACATGATGAGTAGCTCCTGGTCCAACAAAAATAAGGAGTGGAATTGGGTGTTCTAGATAAGAATAACCATAACTTGGCCTCGTTTAGATCACATAGTAATATACTATTCGATGTTTGATATTCATATAAAATAAAAAGTAAGCCGCCATGTTTGGTATTAACGTACTCGTTCCCAGTCATACTTGGTTACACTATGGATAGTACTTCGAGAATAGATCTCTGCCTTGAATGGCTGCCATATCCAAAGATTCGTATACTATATGTATTTTGTAATGTGGTTCTATCCCGTTTCACATCTGTCATACAGACAATGATTAAATAAACATTTTTAATTTTATTAAATGGATGCAGAATAAATACTTCTCAGAATTCTCGAAGGATACTTATTGTTTTCAACTAAAATCGTCGATTTAGGACTTACAATAATGGTCAACTAGCTTAGTGTCTGTTCTCAACAAGCGGAGATAATTGAAGACAGACAGCGTAAGTTTAGTATGGATAGTTGTACATATCAAAATGTGTATTATTCTTATACATGTCGCAACAGCCACAGGCCAAATAATTGTATATCCGAAAATATTTTAAATACAGTTTTATCGACCCCTGTATATTGAAAATACTACATTTTGATACAGTTATTTTGAAAGTTGCTGATGTCGAAAGTTAACATATTCATTCAGTGGACTAATTGAGCATAATAGAAGAGGCC